AACAGTAGTGAAGACAGCCTCTTCATCGCCGATCACTGCGAATGCGGCTCAGGTGCAAACCTCGTCCTACAACAACAAATCTGGCAACAATTACCGAGGCAAAAACAACAACCGCAATCAACAGACTTGGCAACAACCGCAACAATTCTCGCCTCGTCAGGATCAGTTCTCACCTCGGGGCTATCAGGGAAAGTGTCAACTTTGTGGCACCTATGGACACAGTGCTCGCCGATGCTCTCAGCTACAACAACAAGGCAGCTCGTACAGTGCATTTCCACGACCGTTTCAGAGCAGTTCGGGGTCATGGCAGCCTTGGGCTAATTTGGCCGCAGCATCCTCGTCTGGTGCTAATAACTGGGTCCTCGATAGTGGCGCCACTCACCACCTCACTACAGACTTGAACAATCTCTCTCTGCATCATCTCTACAATGGTGGTGAGGAAGTAACCATAGCTGATGGTTCTGGACTCCCGATCTCGCACACTGGTTTTACTTCCTTACCTACACCCACTAAATCTCTGCAACTAAATGATGTCCTTTATGTTCCCAATGTCCATAAGAACCTTATATCTGTTTACAGATTGTGTAATACTAACCAGGTGTCTGTGGAATTCTTTCCTGCTCATTTTCAGGTGAAGGACTTGAGAACGGGGGCTCGATTACTCCAAGGCAGAACTAACAAAGAGCTGTACGAGTGGCCACTTACATCCCAAAATACCATACTCTTTGCCTCACCATCACCAAAAACGACTCTATCCTCTTGGCATTCCCGGGTTGGCCACCCATCTCCACCTATTTTACAAACCATTGTCTCCAAATTTGCTTTACCTTTTTCTGATTCTATGCAAAAACAAAATCCCTGTTCTCATTGTCTCATTAATAAAAGCCACAAGTTGCCATTTTATACCAATACCATTTCTTCTACTTACCCTCTCCAATATGTTTATTCCGATGTCTGGATGTCGCCTATAATGTCGATTGATAGCTACAAGTATTATCTGGTTCTTGTAGATCACCACACCCGATATACGTGGCTCTATCCGTTGAAGCTGAAATCGCAAGTCAAGGAGACATTTGTTGCCTTCAAAAATCTCGTGGAGAATCGTTTCAAGCACAAAATCGGTACTCTATACACCGACAATGGAGGAGAATTCCTCGCCTTACGATCTTTTCTGACTGACCATGGCATCTCCCATCTGACGTCTCCACCACATACACCTGAGCACAACGGGATTTCTGAGCGTAAACATCGACACATTGTCGAGACGGGACTCACTTTGCTTCATCAAGCCTCCATTCCGAAAGTTTACTGGCCGTATGCCTTTGCGACGGCGGTCTATCTGATCAATCGTTTACCAACGCCGGTCCTTAACCATCTCTCTCCATACACCAAGCTTTTCCAGGAAGCTCCGAATTACATGAAGCTCAGGGTTTTCGGATGTTTGTGTTTCCCATGGCTCAGGCCATACACAAATCATAAGCTCGACTATCGCTCAAATCCTTTTGTGTTACTCGGCTACTCTCTCAGTCAAAGTGCTTATCTCTGCCTTGATAGAGCTCACTCTCGAATTTATACCTCACGCCATGTGCAGTTTGTGGAAACCCAATTCCCTTTTGCGACAAATCCACTGACATCGCGAGATCCAGATACCACCGATGACCTCCAAACCAACCACGCCTCACCCACATTTATCCCGCTTCCTACACCGCCACTCGTACAGACTCAGCAGCACGCGCCCCTGACCTCGGTTCTTCCCACGTCACAGCAGGCTCGACGGTCACATCCAGTGCCCTCTGTTGTGACACATCCGGTGAGTCATGTCTCTTCGGAACATGACGATGAACCAACCACATCGAATGTGGGTCTAAATGAGAATTCTACAGGCCCTATTCACCCAGGCCCAAATCAAATATCTTTCCCACCAAACACACATCTCGGCCCACCTAATAACACCACCATATCCTCTCCACAAATACAATCACCTGCTCCTGCAATCCCCAACCCGACAATAACTTCCCGACCACCACTCCAAACCAATACTCACCCAATGCAAACTCGCCGGAAAAACAATATTACCAAACCCAATTCCAAACTTACCCTTACAGCCATCACCACCACACCAACCATACCCACTACCGTAAACCAGGCGTTGCGAGATCCTAAATGGCGAAATGCCATGAGTCAGGAGATGAATGCCCAAACTCGAAACCACACATTTGATTTGGTGCCGCCCAGACCGAATCAACATGTCATTCCGACGAAATGGATTTTTACGATAAAATATCTCCCTGATGGTTCCATTGACAGGTATAAAGCGAGATTGGTAGCTCGTGGGTTCAACCAGACGTATGGCATTGACTATGCGGAAACTTTTAGCCCAGTGGTGAAATCGGTTACAATTCGGACAGTTCTGCAACTTGCGGTTAGTCATGGCTGGCTTATTCGACAATTGGATGTCAATAATGCCTTCCTCCAAGGAAGCTTGAATGAAGAGGTATATGTCACCCAGCCTCAGAGATTTGTCGACAAGGATTATCCGCATCATGTTTGTCGCTTGCGAAAGGCTCTTTACGGCCTCAAACAAGCACCGCGGGCTTGGTACCAGGAGCTGCGAACATATCTCGTCGGGGTGGGCTTCCAAAACTCCCTCGCTGATACCTCAGTGTTCATATACATCAGTGGTAACGATCTTGTCTATACGTTGGTCTACGTGGACGACATAATTATCACTGGAAGTAAGCCCTCTCTCGTTTCTCAATTCATCAGTCTACTCTCTACACGTTTTTCGTTGAAAGAACAGACTGACTTGACGTATTTCTTGGGCATTGAGGCAACTCGAACTTCAAAAGGCTTACATCTAATGCAGCGCAAATATATTATTGATCTTCTCAGCAAAGTCAAGATGCTTGATGCTAAGCCTGTCTCAACACCTATGGCTCCAACGCCGAAGTTATCTCTTACTCTCGGCACTCCTCTCTCAGATCCCCGAGAATATCGTGCAGTCATAGGAAGTCTTCAGTACCTGCAATTGACTCGACCGGATATCGCATATGCGGTAAACAGGCTATCACAGTTTATGCATTCTCAGACGGATATCCATTGGCAGGCGGCTAAGAGGATTCTGAGGTATCTTGCGGGTACTACCAGCAAAGGTATTTTTCTTCGTGCTAACTCCCCACTGTCATTACACGCATTCTCCGATGCAGACTGGGCATGGGATGTCGACGATTTTGTATCCACGAACGGGTACATCCTGTACTTAGGCACCACACCCATTTCGTGGTCCTCTAAGAATCAAAAGGGGGTAGCCCGATCTTCCACTGAAGCGGAATACCGAGCGGTTGCGAACACTACTTCTGAGCTACTCTGGGTTTGTTCTCTTCTTTCTGAACTTGGTGTCACTCTGAACTCGCCACCAGTAATCTACTGTGACAACGTCGGAGCTACCAGACTTTCGGCCAATCTAGTCTTCCATTCACGCATGAAACACTTGGCACTTGACTACCATTTCATCCGGGAGAATATCCAGTCCGGCACACTACGTGTTTCTCATGTATCCACGAAAGATCAGCTAGCAGATGCTCTTACGAAACCTCTTCCCAAGCCTCGTTTTCTTGAACTGCATGACAAGATTGGAGTGATTGAACTCCCTCCATCTTGAAGGGGCGTGTAGGAGATATTTATGTAAAGGTTATATTAGTAAATAGTTAGCTGTAAACCCTCTCGTGTATGTACTATAAATATGTAATCATTCTCTCTAATGAATATTAAGTTCCCTAATCTATATATTAGCTGTAAAAGCTTGTAATGCGATGAACATGGATGTCGTAGCATTTTAATCAAATGATAATCATATGACTGTTACATGATATGATCAACTATACCTAAGTTTTTTTAATATTTGGATTGATTAAAAAAATTATAGTTAGAAATAATAATTGTATTTGTCAATCATATCTGTATTTTTATATTTTTGATTTTAGATTTGATCAACAATAGAAATTGCGGATGATTTACTTCAATTTAGATGTGAGATTACTGTTGATGGCAGATCTTACTTTTGAGTTTTGACTCACAAAATATGATCCACATGCTCTACAAATAGAACTATGATCATTATTGATTTTTTTATTGATGAAAAAAGCTGATTATAATTTATGTGTGAATGGTCAAAAACATCTGTTTTCGACCGATTTATGACTGTAATAATAGTCAAAATATGACATGTTTTTTTGTAATGGTATTACTATATATTCTTATTTTTTCACTCGTGTGATTATAGTTTGAAAATATTGTACTTCCTCCGTTTCACAAAGAATGTCGTTTTAAGGTTTTATTTTTGTTTCACAAAGAATGTCGTTTTATATTTTCAATGCAGAATTTTAAACAATATTCCAATTTTGACCATATTGATTTAATGTATTAATTAGAGAAAAAGTTATTTATGCATTAATGAAGAGCAAAGTAATATTTTTAATAGTTTTCTTAATAAGTGTAAAAAATATCCGAATGACACTCTTTATGAAACGGAGGGAGTATAATTTAACTTAATCTTCTTGTGATGGCACAGGTCTCCACCTAGTTACAAAATAAATTACAAACGTTAATACAAGCTTTTCATATAAGTTCTCTTTAGCTTTGTAATTCCTATTATCTCTCTCTTTGTAATAAGTTGTCTTGCAACATTGTAAACGGAAAATGCTATGAATCTTAACATCTTACCAAAAAATCATCGCATTACAAACTTTTACAGTTAATATGCATCAGTCATGAATATTAAACATAATTGCATGATGAAACCAAAAGATTAATAAACGAATCTTACAGTCATCATATGATTAACAAAAGCTTATGTTTCACGTTGGGCTTAAACATGAAAAAAACATTTAGGTCCATTGAATCTTGAGAAATGGCCACGTCATCAGCTTTAGTCTTTTATCGTCTTTTTCCCCGAACCCTGAGCTTGAGAATATGAGAGAGATCGAAGCAAAGGATTATCCAATTACAACAATCTGAATCTTTCATATTCCCTTCGAAATTCACGTCTTCCTTCGATTCACAGATATCTTCATCAATGTCTGATTTTTAGCGGAGGTTATCATGATCGTCTTTAAAAGCTCTAAGTTCTAATCAAGCTTCTTTTTCTCCCAATCCCTATCTTTTTTTATTTCATTGGTTCAGATCCGAACACTACATTCAATAAAATTGAATTCGCTGTTGAATTCGAATTCTATCTCTCTGCTCATCATTTGGAGAGGCATTGTTCTTCTTCACACAAGTAAGAGTGACTTCAAAGTTCAATCTCTCTCTCTTTCGAGAGTTTAGTTGGCCGATTAATCGTCTAGCCTTGTTGATTGTCAGAATCGGGTAGACTAAGATAGAGCTGGATCCAAAGAAGTATGTTGAGCTACCTGAAAAAATTGAAGCTGAAGCTGATGAGGTTTTAGTAGCTCTATATCAGGTACTCTGAAATCTGTTTGGTATCATCATGTTGGAAATATTCATTGCTTCGTATTTCATATTGATTTCTGAGTAGCACAATAAATAATCCTGGTAGTTCTGAAATTTGTCTTGCGAGAAATCAACTGGGTTTTAACCAAGTGGAGTTTGTAATATAGATGGTGGAGAATGACAGGAAGAGGAATGTGAACAGAGAGGCTCTTACAGCACTTACGAAGAAAGCTCGGACAACAAAGACTAGCGTTCCTTCTCCTTTCAATTCTATGATGAAAGATGTCCGTGGGAGCTCAACGGAACAACCTATGGTCAAAGAAGTTTGCTCGATATGTGGATCCCATGGCTCTAGTGAACCCACATGGATGATTCTCCCATGAGCTGATCTTTTCGCTGCAGTATCGTTTCATGTTGTGCACACAAGGTTTGTCTTCTCTACGGGTTTTGCTACTTTTTTTCTCAAATGTCATGTACTAGTCTTTTGAAGGAAAAGTTTGAAGTTTGAAGCAAAAGAAAATAAAGTTTGAAGCAACGAAATTGCAGAGCTTAATGAAGGAAAAGACTCTTTGCTTATCAGAACTTGTGGCTCTTGGTGATAGTATTCCTCCAGGCATTATCAGATCGTTGGTCACGTTAGAGGACAAACCTAAAGTTAAATAGAACAATGCTGGTTTTGTCATTAACGGTGTTATCCATTTATGATGTTGATGGATTCGTTAAAGTCATTATTGTATTCTTAATTTAATCAACAAGATTTCCTTGTTTCTTTTTGATAAAATAATATTTTATTTTTGAAGGATGTTACTGATTTTAGAATTTGAACCAAAAAAGCCGTAATTACAAGTTACATTATTGCTGAATATTATTCTATTGTCTTATAATTATTTTGTTTTTGGGATAATTCTTTTAGCTATATAAATATATAATCTCTCATTTATTATTGAAAAGCAATCTTTAAATGGTGAGTTTGAATTTCTGTTGAACAAAAAGTTTCTGTCAAAAGAAAGCCGAGATCAAGTCAAGATCTTCTTTTGCCTTAAGACAAAATTAGGGTTTATCATAAAACAATTTGAAGTCCTCCTTACTATGGAATCTATCAGATTCAAATCCCTGAATCAGATAATCTCTCTCCCAAAACCATAGAGTTCAGGTAAGCCATCGAATGTGAATATTTTCAAATTGAAAGAAACAAAATCATTCGAAGATGATCAAATAAATCAAGGCAAGTGGACGCGTAAAGATAAGGCCGTCACAAGAGCCTTTGTATTAAAAATTGGACCCACCAGATGTCTTTTAGTGAACAAATTTTTTCTTTTTTATAATTACAGTATAGTTTTGTCGAGCAATATAATTGATATCATATTACGTATTTCTTGTCCTTTTTCTATATGAAAACATTGTGGCTCTGAAGGGTAAAAGCGTTTCAAACGTTGCAGATCATGCGGATCAAGCAGATCAAGTGGATCAAGTGCGGATCAGACAGAACAAATGCAGATCAAGCAGATCAAACGATTCAAAATATATTGTTGAATGGGAAAAGCGGATAAAAGTGGTTTGTTTTAAAAAAATATGTTTTGTTTAATTCAAATGATAATTATATTATTTTAAAATATCTATTTTTAAAAAGTTGGTGAAATATATTATCTCTAAAAGATAAATTAAAATTATAAATTTATTATTTTATATATATAAATCTATTGTATATACATTTAATAAAATATTTTCCTAATTATTATAATAATATTATTTGATGTGTTATGTATATAATGTATATATATTGCATAAAAGATAAATAATAGCTATATATTAGCTTAGTAATATCAAACTTAAAATTAACTAATGATAAATTCTTATATCCAATATATTGTTGGATTAATATACATACTTGTTGAAATATATTAAGTTGTAATGTGATAAAAGTTGGAATGAAAATTTTTTGAAATAATATGAATTATATCTAGAATAATAATCACAAAATGGTGTTATTAGGGTGTACATAAAAAAAGTTATCAACTATATCTAAATTTTTTTTTAATATTTGGATTGATTAAAAAAAATTAGAGTTAGAAATAATAATTGTAACACAGTAGTCAAACATCAATAAATTAGATCATCGATTTGGTGTTCCGAGGGGTTGAAACTTGGAAGTAATTAAGTTAAATTTTTTTTTTTAACTACTAATAGATACATACATACACATAAAAGAAACTCAAACAAATCCATATGATTTGTGAAAGTGTCATGTATTTTTGCTATTTAAGTCAACTTTTTTTAAAAAACTTATTTAAGTCAACTTATTGTTAGGATCAAGACTTCAAATCGATACAGAAACTTATCTCACAATCTCACAATCCCTCATGAATAGGAATCTGATTTGAACAAAGAAAGAACAACACAGAGATTTACGAGTTCGGGCTCTTGATATGAGATAATACCCTACTTCTCGGCCTGGTGAATCAAGCTTTTCAACGACTGATACAAGCAACAATTTCTCATCTCTGTACAAGCTTAACACACTAAGAGGATAAGCTATTTATATCTACACGCTTTGACTAAAGGTCAAAGTCAATTACAATTAACAGATTGGTTTAACAAAACCATGAACCATGAGAAACCAAATGCCGGTATTCTCAATTTGACTATCCTGTCTTCGGTTCAAGCTCCTTAACCAAGTAGATTTTCATCACCAAAACAACAAATCTCCACCTTGATGACAATCTAACTTGATCAGCTACTCTGTTAACTCAAACGTGTAGTTTCACCAGGTCTTACTCCAACACTTTAGTGTTGTTCCAATCCGAGAAAACTCAGAGCTTTCTCGAACTTATCAACTGGAAGTCCCTTAGTAAGCATATCAGCTGGATTCTTAGCTGTTGCTATCTTCAGTACCTCCACATCTCCTTGAGCCACTACATCTCTAATAAAATGCAGCTTCCTGTCAATATGCTTCGTCCTCTCGTGATGAACACTATTCTTCGCAAGACACAAAGCACTTTGAGGATCACACCATATATCAACTGATCTTTGTTTAAAACCAAAGTCCTCAGCAAGTCCTTTAAGCCAAATGCTTTCCTTCACAGCTTCTACAAGTGCCATGTACTCGGCCTCTGTCGTAGATAATGCAACTGATGGTGTTCCCTCCTGCTGTGAAAACATATCCGGAGATCGACCTTCTCCTGTCCAGATCAGAAGCAAAATCTGAGTCGCAGAAACCCTCAATCTTGAACTCATCCCTTTTTCTAAACACCAATTTCAGATTCTGTGTACCCTTAAGATATCTCAAGACCCACTTGACTGCAGACCAGTGAACTAACCCTGGTTTACTCATAAACCTACTGACTAGCCCCACAGCATACGCTAAGTCACATCTGGTTCCAGTCATGGCATACATGACGCTTCCTACTGCGTTTGCATAAGGAACGTTGTCAAGTACAGTCTCTGCTTCATCATCCTTAATCGCAGACAGTTTAAACTGAGCACCAATGGGAGTAGACACTTCTTTTGCCTCATCCATATTAAACGCCTGAAGTACTTTCTTCACATATCCCGACTGGGACAACTTAAGAACTCCACTTTTTCGATCCCTTTCTATATCCATTCCCAGAACTCTACTGGCTGGACCAAGATCCTTCATTTCAAATCTACTGCTTAGCATCTGTTTCACCTTTTTGATCTCTTCCATGTCTTTAGATTCTAGCAGCATATCATCTACATACAGAAGCAAATAGACCACAACTCCTTCTTTGACATTCTTGATATAAACACAATGATCAAATTCACTTTTCGTGAAACCTTGACTACGTACGAACTGATCAAAGCATATATTCCACTGTCTAGGAGCTTGTTTTAGACCGTACAAGGCTTTCTTCAACAAGCACACATGATTTTCTTTTCCCTTTACCCTGAAACCTTTTGGCTGCTCCATGTATATCTCCTCCTCAATGACACCATGAAGAAAATCTGTTTTTACTTCTAACTGTTCCAACTCCAAATCCAGATTCACAACGATTGATAAAAGATATCTAATCGATACGTGTTTCACAACTGGTGAGAAAACGTCTTGATAGTCTATACCCTCTCTTTGCGAGTATCCTTTTGCTACTAGCCTGGCCTTATATTGAGGCTTCTCAACACCAGGAATACCAGGCTTCAACCTGTATACCCTTTTGCAGCCGATTACTCTTCTGTCCTTTGGTCTCTTTACTATTTCCTAGGTTCTATTCTTCTCCAAAGATTTCATCTCTTCATTCATACCTGCATCCCATAGATCACATTCCTTGCTTCTAATTGCTTCTTCATAATCTCTGGGATCATCGGTACTGACATCTTCTGCTGCTAAGAAGGCAAATGCAGAGATATCGAAATCCTGAAGTCTGGTTGGGAGCCTGATGTCTCTTCTCGGTCTATCTCTAACGAGTTGATACCCATCAGAAGTTCCTCCTTGATGTGAGTCAGCTTCAGCTCCACCTTCTTCTGTATCACTGTCACTGACATATGTGAACTCAGAACTTCTGACTTGTTGAGAACTAGATCTATGCCTCTCAACCTCAGACATACTCTTCACATCAATAATAGTTCTTGATCCTTGTTCTTCAGATACATCAGCTCCACCTTCTTGCTCCGACTCCTTATCCTTTATATCCTTGTAAACTTTATCTTCAACAAACATTACATTTCTGCTTATAACGCATTTTTCTTCGTCTAGGAGCCAAACTTTATATCCCTTTACGCCTGTCGGATAGCTTACAAACACACCCTTCAAGGCCCTGGGTTTGAGCTTTCCTTGATCTTTGTGTATATAGACCAGAGACCCAAATCTTCTTAAATGTTTGTATCCAAGCTTCTTTCCAAGCCACAACTCTTCAGGTATGTTACTATCAATTGCCGATGAAGGAGTCCTGTTTAGTTGATACACCGCCGTAGATACAGCCTCTGCCCAAAATGATTCTTCAAGCCCTGATTCATCTAGAAGACACCTAACTTTTTCCATTATGGTTCTGTTCATCCGCTCAGCCACTCCGTTCTGCTGCGGAGTATAAGCACAAGTCCTGTGTCTTTCTATTCCATGACTCTTGCAAAAGTTATTAAACTCCAAGTTGCAGAATTCCAGCCCATTATCCGTTCTAAGACACTTAACTCTCTTGTTCACTTGATTCTCTACAAGCTTCTTCAATTCACAGAACCTTTCAAAAGCTTCACCTTTTGTTGAGAGAAAATAAACCCACACCTTCCTTGTACAATCATCTATGATTGATAGAAAGTACTGTTTGTTTGACAAACTTGGTGTGACGTTCTGAGAGCCCCACAGATCGGCATGAACGTACTTGAGTGCCTCTTCTGAGTTGTGTTTTCCGATGCTAAAGCTCAGTCTTTTGTGCTTTCCCATCACGCAGCTCTCACAAAATTCCATTTCTCCAATCTTCCTCTTATTGATGATACCTTTCTTAACCAGTATCTGCAAGTTCTTGAGGCTCATGTGCCCGAGTCTTCTGTGCCAAAGAACCGTTTCATCTTTTGACACTTTCTTTGTTTCACTGTTGTTAATTTCTCCTGTAACAGTTTCACCATCTAGCAAATACAAAGTTCCAACCAATGTTCCTTGTAAGGCTAGTCTACCATTCTTATAAAACCTAGTCTTTCCTTTTCCTCCAGAATGACCAAATCCTAGTCTATCTAAGGTTCCGGTAGATATAAGATTCCTTCTAAGTTTAGGAATGTATCTTACATTGGTGAGAGTCTTCACGGTACCACCATATGCTTTTATATTGATAGATCCGATGCCCTTTACCTCCACTGAGTAGTCATCTCCGAGAAGAACTTGTCCTGAAGCGAGCTCTTCAAACGTGTTAAACCAATCACGCCTTGATGTCATGTGGTAAGAGCACCCGGAGTCAATTACCCATTTGTCTTGATGCCACTTCTCTGAGACAGTCAGAGCATCTGTGTCTTCAAGAGCATCAATCACAACAGCTGCTTCTGCACTCTCTTCACCTTCTAGTTTTCTTTTCCGATCATAACAATCAGCCTTTTTATGCCCTTCCTTTTTGCAGTACCAGCAAGTAATTTTCGACCCTGATGCAGATCTTGATCTGCTTTTCCCTTTCCCTGGCCCTGAATCTCGTTTTTCTGACCTTCCTCGTGCAGTATAGGCATCACCAATCTTTTGTGAGCCAATCAGTTCTTTTACCTCCCTTAACTCTATCTCTTTTGACTTTGCAGCGTTTGTCACATCTTCAATGGTCAGAGTCTCTCTGCCATATTTCAGAGTTTCCTTGAGAGAGTTATATTGCGACGGTAATGAACTTAAGAGAAGAATTGCCTGCACTTCTTCGGATACCGTAACTTTCACACTGCTTAACCCAGAAACTACTTTCAAGAAATCATCAACATTTTCATCAATAGATTTTGAATCCACCATCTTGAAAGTGTAGAATCTGTGTTGCATATGAATCCTATTGGGAAGAGTCTTAGAATTGTATAACCTTTCGAGCGTTGACCAGATCGAAGAAGCAGTCGTACAATCTTCCAGCTTCCTCAACACATGATCTCCGAGATTCAGTATCAATATGTTCATCGCCTTCTCTTCTTTTGCAACCCAATCAGCTTCTTCTTTAATCTTTCTTTCATTAAAGACTGATTCCTCTTCTTCCTTCTTAATCTCGATTTTGAAATAGGCTTCTTCAGAAAGAAACTCCTTCAATCCGAGAATCGAGAGATGAGCGAACATCCTCTTCTTCCACATCGTGAAATCTCCTTGACCATCAAAGATCTTGATCTTAGTCTTCAGATCCGCCATCGATTCTTCCGAGCCGACGAACCTGGCTCTGATACCACTTTGTTAGGATCAAGACTTCAAATCGATACAGAAACTTATCTCACAATCTCACAATCCCTCACGAATACGAATCTGATTTGAACAAAGAAAGAACAATACAGAGATTTACGAGTTCGGGCTCTCGATATGAGATAATACCCTACTTCTCGGCCTGGTGAATCAAGCTTTTCAACAACTGATACAAGCAACAATCTCTCATCTCTGTACAAGCTTAACACACTAAGAGGATGAGCTATTTATATCTACACGCTTTGACTAAAGGTCAAAGTCAATTACAATTAACAGATTGGTTTAACAAAACCATGAACCATGAGAAACCAAATGCCGGTATTCTCAATTTGACTATCCTGTCTTCGGTTCAAACTCCTTAACCAAGTAGATTTTCATCACCAAAACAACATTTATCATGATTGAACAAAGTTGAAACACAATAAGAAGACTCAAATCCTGGCGGACATCAACCACTCGACAACCCTTGGTTAAGTTCTAAACATAAATTAAATAATAAAGTAAAAATCTGAAACCCCAAAATATATTAAATAAACAAACGTTTCAACTTATATATGCATTCATTAAAAAAAATTTCGGGTAAGCTATTTGTTTGAATTTTGTTTCAATTTTTAAATTTCAATTTTTTTATATAAAAATATGCATTTATGTAAACTGCAATAGAGCATACGAGCAAAAGTGAACTGTTTATATATATATATATATAGATATATATTTTGTCAACTTCTTATTACTTTATGTATATCAAAACAAATACTCCATCTGTTCAGAATTATTTGATGTTTTAGGAAGTTTTTTTGGTTCAGAATTATTTGATGTTCTCACTTTTCAATGTAAAATTTAATGAATTTCTATTTTTTGATATTTTATATTCTGCAGATTGTTTTCTTATTGACTAAATGATATTTAAATGAATTATAAATAATATTTTTAGTATAAAAAAATAAAAATTAAATGTTTCTTTAATCTGTGTGCAAAAACCTTAAACATCAAATAATTCATAACAGAGGAGTATTAAATTGAAGCTAAGTCATTTATCGTGTATTTCATTAGTCTCAGTATTAGAAAAAACTTTGAAAATTTTTATAAATTTCCTGAAAAATTAAACTAAAAAGTTGAAAGAGAAAAAACCCAAAAAATCTATGCCGTAAGTTTTTATTAGATCTCACTAAATTTTATAAGTATTTTTGTTTATTAATATATATTTTAGCAAGCACAAGTTACAAGAAATATTAAGGGAATATTCTTTTTTTTTTTTATCAACCCTTAAATTTTAGTGCTTGTGCTAAATAGAACCATTAGCAAGTTTAAGGTTTCTTTTCGTTTTGAGTTTCCGAACAAGTTTAAGTTTGAGCCCTAGTAAAAAGGAAGATCCACCAAAAAAGGAGGAACCAAAGAACAAGCCCTCTGCCTTTGGGGTTGAATCTTATCTAATTTCCCAAAATCTGAATTTTCTTTGTCACCTTTCTTAATTTTTTGATAACTAAATATACTACAAGACACAGGACTTTCCGTTTGTTTTTCTTAAAGTTAGACTTAAGAGACATATAAGAAACCGTGTAGGTCAAGCAAGTGCTTATGAATCACAAAATCTCCAAGAAGTTAGACGAGGAGCAAATCAATGAGCTCCGGGAGGTTTTCCGATCATTCGATCGGAACAAAGACGGAAGCTTAACACAGCTCGAGCTCGGATCACTTCTCCGAGCACTCGGGCTTAAACCGAGTCCAGACCAATTCGAGACACTAATTGACAACGCCGACACTAAAAGCAACGGACTCGTCGAGTTCTCGGAGTTCGTGGCTTTGGTCTCGCCGGAGATTCTTGCGGCGGCGAAAACGTTGACTCCTTACACGGAGGAGCAGCTTCTCCGATTGTTCAGGATATTTGACACTGACGGCAACGGATTTATCACTGCGGCGGAGTTGGCTCACTCAATGGCCAAGCTTGGCCACGCCTTGACGGTTGCGGAACTAACGGGGATGATTAAGGAGGCGGATAGCGACGGCGATGGTCGGATTAATTTTCAGGAGTTCTCTAAGGCCATTAATTCTGCTGCATTTGATGATTTATGGGGTTGAGAATTTCTTCAGCTTAAAACTCTTCCATTATTTGTCTTTTAGTTTGTTTTCTTGTTTGGTCAACTAATTTGTCCTTAAATTATTTAATAGTTTCTATAATCTTTCACTGATCTACAAGAACTTATTTACTTAGATTCAAAATATTACTCAAGTGGGTCTTTTTGTTCCTTTTTTTTTTGTTCTAAGTGGTTCTTATATTCTTTTCTTTCATTTTTTATTTATTTATTTTTACATTTTGTCAATGCGATTTGCAAGCATCTTGGAGTATTTCAATGGATATCTCATGATTAACTAATACAACAAGAAAAAAAAAAGAGAGAATGAGATGGTTTTTTATTTGAGAAACTTTGAGAAATTTTTGAGAGACTCATTCAACACTTGGCTTCACATGGATGATTGAAAAATTGTTTTTAGCTCAACTTTAAATTACACAGCTAAACTATATTACAAATATCAATATTGTATTGATGAGAGAAGTCTTTCACCAATGAAGATGATCTTAGTTTAAAATGTCGAAGTCTTTTTAAGGTTTTGGAAGTTTCTCTCTTAACTCAACCCTTAAGATCACTCGCTTCCGTATATTTCATGCTATGGAGGCCAAACCAAAGGCAAACCGTGAATCGTATTAGCCAAACCATTGATTTCCTGACAATGATGAAGGAAGAACACATGAAGCCAAAATAAATAAAAAACTTAGATGAGCATCTGGCAATGCTTTTAGCTTCTGAATGAGTTTATCAACGAAAAATCGAAAATGATCCTAATTAAGAGGAACATTTGCTACGTCTAACGTCTTATTAGTCTTATCCACGGTAGATTCTACTAAAGATTTGCAGACCAATACACATTTATATCTTCACTTCAGATTCAAAATACTAATATTGAATATATTAATCGTTTCACTTTCGGTAAATTTCAACCGTATTTTTATTAGAACAGTTGATATTTGTAGATTTTGCATGTTCCTAACTCTTATTTTTTTTGTTAAAAAATATTTTGATTAAATTTAGAAGTTTGTTATGTTATGCTATTGATGTATAGTAATTATGTGTATCAAACTATAAACGTATAAAACTTTATGGTTGCAAAAAGATATCGCCATGTTGTAATAAACTTTAAGCGTTAGAAAGAAAAAGATATTGCCATGTTTTCTACTTACATCCGAATCTATCCACAATCACAATAGTTTCTGGAATTAAAATTTAAAAGTGAAAAAAAAAAGGCTCAATTATGTCGGAAAAAGATTGGAACTTTGATTGGATTTTGCCGCTTCATAGTCATCTCTGTACCATCCACTGCAAAATGTCCTTCCTTATTACACCGTCGAACCCGACGCCTCTTACATATCTCGGTTGACTCAGACTTGCGGCTGCACTGCCACTGTAATGTCTGTACTGAGACGAAGTTCCACTGGGTCTCGGCGGTTGGATCATCATAGAGACAGTCGGGAACGGATTGTGTCGTAAGTGTTTCAACGAGGAGAACAAATGCCTATCTGAGTCACGGTTTTGTGGACTCTGCGTCGTGTTTGTGTGCGATTTGGGACGGGACAGCTCCGATAGTCTTTTTGCCTTGTCCATGTTGGAGTTGGTGTTGTAGTGTGGTGGTTCTGGTCGAGTACGGATCTGAGCCGCTGGTTTCATCCGGTCGAGCCAACGGAGAATCCAGTTTCCGAGATTCCGACCAACTTCTATGTCTCTATGCTGTATGTTCTTGTGAACCGAAACAGCCACATCGAAGATTTTACGAGTCCTCCTACAAAACACACAAAAGAATGCAAAAGAGAAAAAAATAGCGAGTCAATGCAAATGAAGCTAAGCTTCTGTCAAATCTCAGAATGAAGCTATAGCGTATCAAACATTAGACTAGATTCAACTTGAATCCATAAAGAAGATATTAATAAACTTCTTCAAGAATTAGCGTAAATGAACAAGCAATATATGTTAGTGATAGATTCAAATCCGTCTAGTAGATCATTCTCTCGGAAAATGATATAGCCAAGAGAATACAGAAGAGAAAAGAGAGCGAGTCAATGGATATAACCAAATGAAAACTCAGCTTCTCATCAAATCTCAGAAGTCAGAAATCTATACCCTTAAGAAAATATTAGACTCGATTCAACAACATGAATCACTAGAGTTTCTATCTGATTATCTCCATGGAGAGTTTGATGAAGGAATCCATAAACTTGCAAGAATCAGAGTATAATGTACAAGAAAAATGTATGCTCGTGATAGATTCAAATGCCTTTAGCAGATCGTTCTCTTGGAAACATAGACGAATTCAACGAATCCATACCATTCAACCACAAGAATCTCATACACTTCCTTCTTGATTTCTAGTTTTCTAATTCCTACAAATCACATCGAAAATGCTTTCATTGCTATTTGCTAAAGATCAAACTAAAACGAGGGTCTATATCTTACAGAAATGACTCGATTCCAGGAAAAAAAAAAGAAGCTTAAACGATCTGCTTCGATTATCCAGATTCTCAATATGAGTATCGTGTCTATTGATTATCCAGGCTCGACGATCGGTTTGATCATAAGCATAACCAAATAACCAATTTCAACTACAGAAAAGTGCAATTTCTCATTCCCCAAATGAGATTTCCTATCCGAGAAACGCGATATTAAAACCTAAATCAGAATCGAAACGATCTACTAAAGAGAAAAAATCTCACCGATGCAGAAACTGACGGATTTTCGGATGCTTCGGACTAACAATCCGACGCTGGATCTTTAAGGCCAGCCTATAAGTCCGCCTCAGCCCCAAGAAGTAGGCTGTTCCTAGAGTTATCTCCCAGAGAACCATTTTCCTTCTAGAACCTTCTTCTTCTTCTTCTTCTTCTACTTCGCCTTCTACGTTTATCGGATGATCGCCATTTTCATCAGTCACTGATCCCCGCTGGTTACCGGTGACTCAATCCTCGTCGTGCACTTTACTTGTTCGGTGAAGTCATTTGGGCCAGGATATGACCCACTATGAGGAGTGCATTAGACAATATGGGCCGGATTTACCCGTACCAAATTTATTTTCTTAAAAGTTATTTTCACAGAAATTAACAATAGTTTAGAATTTTAATTTTTTTTTGGTTTTGTTTTGGTAACATCTGATTTATTAAGCTTAAAACGTACTTACAGTAGTCAGCATGTAATGCTCGAGTAATTTCAATAGGTTCAAAGAAATGGAAAAAGAAAGAAACATCATTGGCTAAACTCTTTTTATATTGTTGTTTGTTTCGACTTTCGGCAGTGAGATTAATGAGATAAATAAATAACTAGTAGAATATCAAATTTCTATTTAGCTTATTCACGAGTGACTATTCAACATTTCCATTTTTTTTTTGTTGGCTATTTCGTATTTCCATTTAAAGACCACGCATCTAGTTTTCAAAATAGCAAAAATGGAGAACGTTAGTAAAAAAAAGTAAATTTCCTTAATTTGAACATTTTTTCCACTTAAGAAAAGGAAACACAAACAAAGGCTTGTTACAACAACGTTTATAAATTAAGAACTCTCTTTGTTAATTGATTCACAAATTTTCTTAGAAACTCTCAAGTCTCAACTTCTCTTTCTCTAGGGCAAATCTCAACACACAATGGTAAACAAAGACGACGACGTCGTCGTTTCTTGCTTCCTTACGTTTGCGATAAGCAGCGTTATGAATCTAATCATATTCGCTTGCGTAGCCGTTAAATTCCAAGTCCACGACGCAAAGCTAACTCGATTCGACATTGATTTCGAAAACGACTACAACATCTACTACAATCTCTCTCTGAATTCTCCATCCAAAACACGAACAACCATATCGGAGTTCATTACGACGAGCTCGAAGCTGACGTTTATTACAGCCATCAACGGTTAGCTTCTGTCTCTGTGTCGTCATTTTACCAAGGACACAAGAACACGACGGTTCTGGAGACTGTGTTTCAAAGCCAAAAAAGAGTTTTTCTCGGCGAACACGGCCGTCGAGAATTTGAAAATGATCGGGATGTTGGTGTTTATGGAATCGACGTGAAGCCAATTGTTCGGTGCCATCTTAAATTCACTGGGTGCCTCTAACTCGTCCGGAGGGTTTGACTTCCAGTCAACCAAATGCTACTTTGGCTTCTGAGATTATTACAATTGTTTTTGTCTTTATAGTGAGATTATTACATGATTACACAAGATGTGAGATTTTGAATAGAATCAACAATTTAAAATTATTAAGTTTGTTGTTGGTAGCATTTAGTTTTTAGTTGCAAAATACTTCTTTGGTCTTTGTTCTCTTGGTAATGTCAAAGATTTTTTTTATATTTTAAATAAATTCCTTTTTACTGATTAAATAATTGGAGAATATAATAAAAACATAAAATAGAGAAAACCGATTAAAATTAGGTAATTGGAGCTGGAATTTATGTTTGTTCAAATAACCTAGAATTGAAGGAACCAAATCAAACAGAATTAGAAGGAACCAACCTGAATTGGATAATCATAGATATCTGAATAGTTTTCTTTTTCATCCAAATTGAAAAAAAAAATAGATAATCTAGTTAATGTCTAAATGAATATATGGCGAAAAAACAATAGATAAAACTTAATTATAATGAGATAATCACATTTTAATTAACAAAAAAAAGAAATAATCAAAATTTAATAATTGTTGATTTTTCGAATATGGCTCAGAAACGGCCCAAAACAATAAACGGTCCAGATTAACGAATGCTTAGAACAATTCTCGTGTTCTTGCCTTCTTTCGGTCAGACCACGTGTCTTTCACGACTTGGAATTTGGATAAAGCCAAATAACAAAATTTAATTAACTGTTGCTCAAAAACTTTTAATATCCTCTCTTGGAAGCAATTTCGAATTTTGATTTGCTTTTTACCTTCAAACAAAACCCAGAAAAATCCATCTATAATCTCGAGAACAACGCAGATTCTCATCTATTGTTGTTAAGCCTTCAATTTCGCTTCACGTTCTAGAATTTTTGTTCAAGTTTAGAGTTTCCGGGGAGATCGAAAGCAACCGGAGATGAGCTTTCAGGATTTGGAAGCTGGGACGCCGTTGAGATCGCAGAGGAATCTGATCAACGGCAAGAAGGGTGGAACACAGGCGGTGGCTTCCGGTATCTTTCAGATCAACACGGCGGTTTCTACCTTTCAGCGACTTGTTAATACACTCGGAACCCCCAAGGATACGCCGGAGCTCCGTGACAAGCTGTGAGTCTCGTGATTTTAGGGTTTAATTTTTTTTCTCTGAAATTCATGCATTTGATCTCAGTGAAATCATTCCCCAACTATTTAGGGTTTTGTGAAATGGGCACTCAGTATGGATTTGTCTCTCATATGTTTATCTGCCAAGTTGAGATTCTTGCTCATCTTTAGGCCAATTTTAAGTGTAGAGACTAAAATGAATAGGTTCTTCATATCTTCCGTTGATTATGTGTTTGAGGCAAGCCAATGTCTGCGTATAATTTTGGATTTCCTCTTGAACAAATAAAATGGCTGAGGTAAATAGGAATGCTCAAATTTCTCTGTTAATAACCAGGCACAAGACAAGGTTACATATTGGACAGTTGGTAAAGGACACTTCGGCAAAACTTAAGGAAGCTAGCGAAACCGATCATCATCCAGATGTTGCTGTAAGTGTTTCTTGCAATTTGTTTGACTTAGAAGATGTGAAAACATCACATTCTGTGAAAGTTTTGTATCTATTTCTATTAACGATTTTATGGTTCTCTTATGGAAATTGGTATTGCTGCAGCAAAGCAAGAAGATTGCAGATGCTAAACTTGCAAAGGATTTTGAAGCAGTGTTGAAAGAGTTTCAAAAGGCACAGCGGATTGCAGCGGAAAGGGAAACTTCTTACACTCCTTTCGATCCAAAAGGCAGCCTTTCTTCAAGGTTTGAGAAAAAAACTGCATCATAAGAAGCGGTCTCAATTACTTTCACTTCAACAGTAGAGATAATCACTATGTTCTTTGTATCATCAATTTCAACATCAGAACCGGTAGTGTCTTTCTGTTTGAGATTGAGTGATTGCAACACCATTTTTTTTTGTTGGAAGTCTGTTACCTGTAGTTTTCTTGACTGGTAGTTCTTCACAATAAAAGCTTTCCATGTTCTTACGTCTTAAAGTCGGCTTGAAGTTATTACTGATGTATCTTATTTCCTATACCAGTGAGGTAGACATTGGCTATGATAGACCACACGAGAAGCGTGTCCCCATGGAATCTAGAATGTAAGTAAATTCTACGCCGCATATCTATCTGTAAATAACTTCTGCGTTCATGCTTCTGACCAATCTTTCTTCATCTCAAGGCAAGAAGTCGTGTTGCTTGACAACGAAATCTCATTCAACGAAGCGTTGATAGAGGAAAGAGAACAGGGAATAGAGGAAGTTCAGCAGCAAATCGGGGAAGTAAACGAGATATTTAAAGATCTTGCGGTGTTGGTTCACGATCAAGGAGCCATGATCGGTAAATCTCTCAAGCAGTTAAAGAGTCTAAAGAATGCTTAGGTTCCAGTTCTCAATCCTCTTTAAAAAAAAATCTTTTTATGGCAGATGATATCGGTAGCCATGTCGAGAATGCACATTCCGCAACAGCTCAGGGAAGGTCTCATCTTGTGAAAGCCTCCAAGTCACAAAGATCAAACTCGTCTCTGGTAAAACAACATTCCGCTTTCGTTCACTTTACATTTGTTGTCTTTTTACATGCTCCTCACTCATTTTTTTTCTGGTTATTATGCAGATGTGCTTACTCATGGTGATATTTGGTATCATTCTACTCATTGTTATCATAGTAGTCGCAGCTTAAGATCGCCGCCGGAAAACACAACAATTGCGGTTCAAACATTCAAGAGAAGTCGGTTTTTAGGACATAGAATTCTTGAGTGTTGGAACTTTCGAAAGCCCTACTTGTGTCTATATTCGCTCTTCTTTCTTATCTTTTTCTTCGCTTGTAAAACGAAGCTCTGTGTATGTGAAAAGACTGGAAAGTAAATGGTAAAGAAAAAGGCAACATTCGTTTTCTTCTGATTAGAGCTAAAAGAAAAGAAAGTAGAAAACATAATAAAAAAAAAACATTTTTACCGAAAAAATATATAAAAAAGAAAACATAATCAAAAATAAATTTCTGGTTTGATCAAAATAATTGGTTTGGTTTTGGTTCGGTTCAGGTAAAACATAAAGTAAATATTTAATTAAAACAATTCGGCACTTTTCGGATATCTTACATTTTCCCGCTAGTGATGAACGGCGCATCTCCGGCTCATTCTACGGTTTCGACGACCGCCGTAGCTGGAGGCGGTGGAAGCAGCGGAGCCGCCGCTGGTCTTGACGATTTCCATTTTCCACCGGACATTCCTTCTATGCAGGATCGAAAAGACGAAGCCATGCGCAGTCAGTTCCTACTCTCTCTCCCTTCTTTCACGATTTCGCATCTTAAGGTTTGGGTTTCTAGTTCATCGCAAAATTAGGGGTTTTCTGTGAGAATCGATTTTCGAATTTCTCATTGATCAGAGTTTCGGTGTGGGTTTTTCGATACTTGGATGGGTTTCCAAATTCTCGCAAAATTAGGGTTCTTCAGTAGCCGGATTTCTCATCGATCAGGACGTTTTTGGGTGTCAAATCTCTATTCTTAGGATTGCCAAATTTTGAGAATTGCTTGCTTGAAATTTCAATTGGATAGATTTGCAATCACCTGCAAATTCATCTTCCTTATTACGTATTCAAGCTGATTAGGCTTCTTTAATTGATTTGGTACCTGCTAATTACTCAGAAATGATTAGGGACATGAGAAAGATCAAAACACTTACTTTCAAGTGTTTGCTTTAGAGAAGATCATGAAATCTTTGGCTTTTCATGGTGCAGTTTTGAAATCTGATTTGATGGCTGAGCTTGACAAAGAGGTTAAATCCTTGGAAGAAGACAATTGGATGTTCGACGGTCCTCGTTCTCGAATCCATCTTATCTCGAGAAGAGGTTAGTTTCTACCACTCTGATTCTCTCTTAGCTTTAATGGATCTTGGCCATTCTATAAATCAAATGGTTTGAAACAAATCAATACAATGAGTAAACATTTGATAGAATCTACAGGCTTTTTTGTTTGTTTTTTTGTATTTCATCAATACTAAGAGACTTTGCTGAATCAAATGTGTGATTATATGGGTTTGTGATTAGGTAACTTTCTGAAGAAAGAAGGTGAAGCTGTGTCGAAATCAAGCATTGTTCAGCTTCCCAGATGATCAGATTCAAGTAAGACGATTCAGAAATGGTCGCAAGCTTTTGATTTGATATGTATAATTGTTTCGATCGATAGTGTTTGGTCACAAGATTGCCACTAAGACGTTGACTGTGTTGTTTTCCTCCCTTTTCTACAAATACGGAATTTTGTTTTGTTATAAAAGTTACTGTGGCTTATACTTATATAGCCATTTCAATGGTGTTCATGTAAAAAAAAGTGAAGAAATAATCAGCAACTAACCCAGATTTTAAACTTGCAATCTGATCTATATATGTAAATGTAAATATGTTATAACCACAAATCTTTTCTTTTTTATATTAAGATTTTTAAAGTAAGTAGGCTGCTCTTAAAAAAGAAAAAAAGCAGGTAAACCAGATAGTTTCATCTCAACCGGTCAATGTACTAATCAAATTGAACCGGTCAATGTACCAACAAAATAATAGAACCGATCGTATTCTGATTCATTTTGTGCTGCTCTCTAGAAATCTCTCACTTTTCCACCACTCCTTAGTTTATTAGAGATCGAAAAGGAAAATACCAAAATCAGTCGAAACAAAAATTCTGGCTATGGATTGGAGATAGGGATCATCTTCTTCTTTTTCTTCTTCTTTTTCTTCTTCTGCTTCTGCTAAATTGACCAGTACAGGTTGATTCATCGTCACACCGCCAAGAAAGGTACGGCTGGAAAGAGTCTAGCTTCTTTGAGCGAAGCAGTTTTTGGAGGAGAGAGTTCGAAAAGAAGTAAGTTTCATCATTATATCGAAAGCTTAGATGATGCGATTGATTTGTTCGATGAAATGGCTCGATCTCGTCGCTTCCCTTCCGCAATCGATTTCAATAATCTAATTGGATTCATCCTGAGAATGAAACGGCCCGACGCTCTGATTTCTCTCTATCAGAAGATGGAATTGCATCTGGATTCCACGCAATATCTACAGCTTCAATACCCTGATGAAATGTTTCTGCAGCTGCTCTAAGCTTTCTTTTGCTTTGTCAACACTTGGGAAAAAACAACAAACTTGGGTTATGTCTCGAAGATAGGATCTCTGAAGCCATAGCTTTCTTTGATCTAATGCTTTGTGTCATAGCGTTCAACACAATATGTTGTAAAGGGAATGTGTAAGATGGGCGACACTGTCTCGGCCTTGAATCTGCTTAGAAAGATGGAGAAAAGCCGCATCAAAGCCATGTAATCTATGATGCCATCATTAATCTTCTTTTGCAAAGATGGATGTTATACCGCTGCTCAAATCTTTTAAGTGAAATGCATGAGAAAGGAATTTATCCCGCATATAACTCAATGATCTGATGTATTTTTGCAAGGATGATCGGCTAGATGAGGCAAAAACAGATATTTGGTTTGATGGCTAGCAAGGGATGCTCTCCAAATGTAGTCACTTTCAATACTTTCATGGTGTGTGCTCTGATATATTAAGGAATAACATTTTTGCTGGACGGTCTCTGCGATGATAATGGGAAACTGGAAGAGGCATTGGAAATGTTTGAGGTTATGCAGAAGAGTAAGATTGATGTTGATACTGCTACATATAACATCATCATCCATGGAATGTGACGTAGCATGGGACTTATTTTTGAAGTCTCCCTCTCGATGGTGTGGAGTCTGAAGCAATATCTGAAGTAAATATAATGATATATAGATTTTGCGGAAAAGGTGCGATATCTGAAGTATAATGCGATATTCCAGAAAATGAAGGACAATGAATATGTACCAAATGGCTCTACATATAATATACTAATCAGAGGAAATGCAAAGCAACATGTTCTGTTCAGATGCATCCACCCTGAAAATGGTAGATGATCAATCTGATGGTGGATCGGACAAGAGCTTTGTGGATATGCTGTTTTAGTGTTTGGTGTGGTGTTTTTTGTGACAAGAAATCTATCTTAGTCTTTTTCCTTCTATGGTATGTCCTACTCACTCACTTGTGTTCTTTTCTGTTGTTTGATGCTATGTGTCATGGAATAGGATTTTTGCAGAGGTTTCAGCCTCTTAAGATTTGCAAGAAGTTTCTCGAGGAACGCTTTTTGTCTTGTCCTCTCTAGATTACATGTAATCTCAAAATTGAATCCAGATATTATCTCATCTTTGTTTCATATAACTTGGCTAATTGTACTCAAAGTTTTGAGGGTTGACTTATGAAAATGGAATCATTTTGTCTCGCAGTGAAGTAGACATTGTTTTGAAAATGTAGAATTTTTTTTTAATTTGCTTGAAAATTATTTAAAAATTACTAGAGCAAAAATCTTTTCCCATTGCAGATTTGTGTATGTATTAAGAAGCAACAAGGCAGCTGAACAGAGCAATGTATTTTTATGTAATTATGATTTATGCAACGAAAGAGAAAAGACAGACGTTTTCTTTTTGAAAGAAGAAAGACAGAGACGGTTGATGACAAGATCTAAACAAATTCTGATAAAACTAACGAGAATGAAGAAATTGACTTATATATATACAAAAAAGATTATTATATAAGTTGGATGAGCTTAGTTGAGGTAGCATTAAAAAATAATAATTAAAGCAAATATGAACATTTTTGTAGGTGAAAAATAGTCTGTGTTCAAATATGGAAGCCTGCATGCACCGATGCACGTTATGTTATAATGTCAAACATTTTGTGTAAACCACAAACATATTACATATGCAGATTTACAAATTACAAATTCAGATTCCATGTAAAGATCATAGTTCAGAAAATTTTCATTTTCTTTTATTGAGAAAACACACAAAATTCTATTAGGCAAAATCGTTTACTGCATCGGCAGGCAATCACCTCATAGAGTATATGTCTTACCAACCATAGGAGTTATGTTAAACTTTGCATCAATGCTTCCTTTTTAAAATACAAATCTGGCTCTGCAGTGCATTTGATAGATAATCTGCAGGTTTTTTAATTGTTTTTTGTGTTTCATCAACACTAAGACACTCTGCTGAATCAAATGTGTGATCATATAGGTTTCTGATTAGGTAACTTTCTGAAGAAAGAAGGTGAATGCGTCGAAATTAAAGCATTCTTCAGCTGCCCAGATGATCAGATTGAAATAAGACAATTCAGAAATGGTTGTTAGCTTTTGGTTTGATAGCTAATTGTTTTGATCGATTGTGATTAGGTCACAAATGCCACTAAAACGTTAACTTTGTTGGTTTTTCCTCCCTTTTCTACAAATACGAATTTTGTTTGTTTTCTTTTGTTAAAACTTAGAATTATAGCTATTTCAATGGTGTTAATGTAAAAAAGAGTGTAGAAATCAGCAACAAACCCCACTAAAATGACAACATAACGAACCCAGCTTTAAAATTGGCATTCTGATAAAACCTATATATATAAATGTAAATATATAATAACCACAATATTTTTATAGTAATTGGTACTCATTTATTTAATGTATTTTTGTCTATTTTATTTTAATGTCATTTTTAAATTATTACTTTTAATATAAATTTAGATGAATGAGATTAAATACTTATATTATAATTGTAACATCCCAACCCCAGCCCAATTAGAGGAGGCCCAGCAAATTCAGGCCATTTCCAGAAACCCTAATATAAATAAGGAATTATGAGTTAATGAACCTCATTTTGCCTCTAATTACCCTAGCCTTCAAAGAAAAGAAAGTGAGAGAGAGAAGAAGAAGCTGCACGCCGCCGCCGAGGAGGAGAGCCACCGCCACCGGAGAAGCTTGCCGCCGCCGCCGCTTGCCGAGAGAAGAAAGAGCACTCGCCTGCCTCCACCTTCTCAGAAGCTGCTTGATTCTTTTGCCTCTTCTAGTTCTCCTTAATCTCAGATCTGATTTTAGGCCAAGGTGAGGATTAGATCTAGGTCTTTCTTCTTATCCCTTTATCTTCTTCTGGTGTGTTGAGTCTAGATCTGGTGGGACAGGTCTGTCTTCTTGTGCATCTAGGCAGATCCATATATATATATATATATATATATATATAACTAATAAGATCTAAGATCTCATTAGAGGAAGAATCAGCATGATTGATTGATAACCCTGTTGATTGGTTAGTGATTAGTAGAAGTCCTAAAGGTCATAGTCTGTTTCTGGTATAGCGATGTGCCGAATGCAGGCTTGTTTGTTGGGTTATGTGTCGTCTGTGTGACCGTGGCAATAATCCATTCATCCGGTGGAGTGATGACCCACGGGGCTGTCCGTGTGGCATGCCGGGATTGGACTATCTGTGTGACAGGGTCTCTGTCTGTGTGACAGGGTGTCTGTCTGTGTGACAGGGTGAGATGTCGACCTGTGTCCGAGTGACAAGGTGGTTTGGCCTATTGAGAGGCGGGACGGAGACATCGCTGCTTGTTAGTTGCTTGTGCACTTGTAGAGTGCTTGTTTGGTTTCATTAGATTTATTCTTAATATGTTGATGGAAATAAATGAATAAGGCGGGAGCCTGGTTTGGTTATCACTGAGTAATTCTCCCAAATTACTCACCCCTCTCCCTCTCTAAATTCCGTTATGCAGGTCAATGTGATTGTGATGATGTCTGGGAAGAACTAGACGAGTAATTCTAGTGTGGTGTGCCTTCAGAAATGGAGGAAGTTTTATTGTTTTTAAGAACTATTTCACCTTTTTTTTAAGACAACGTTTCTATTTTATTTCGGATTTAATCAGTTATTTCATTTCTATTGTAAAACTTGGATTTGGGATTTAGATTTGAATAAAGAACAACTGGTTATTTGGAATTGGTTTAGTTTAGGTTAGTTAATATCCTGGTTTATTCTGGTTTTCTCCGGAACCAGGAATCGGGGTGTTACAATTTGGTATCAGAGCATGGTTCGAACTAGGTGTTAAGAGAGCTAAGTCTAGAATAGTGGGAATGGGATTCGGATTTCAAAAAAAAAAAAAATGGTTTAAAAAGTTTTTAAAAGTTTTCAAGTTTTTCAAAGATTTTCCAAATGTTTTCAAAGAAAGAAAACCACCACCTAGACTAGCCTCTCTAGTTTTTGTTGTTCTTTTCTTTTGCAGGAAGTTAGTCTTTATGGGACCGGGCTAACTTATCTGTCTCCATGTCTTGTCAGATGCCTTCGAGGGCTAAGAATGCGCGCAAGACCCAAGCTCGTCGTTCAGGTGGTGCTGATGAGGTCACGGACACATCAGGAAGTGTTGCTCCAGTGACTCAGCAGACTGTGCCTCCAACTCCAGTGGATCAGCAGGGAGAGAACCTTGCGGGAGGTGTGCCTGTTCAAGTGCCTCCAGCAGCAGAAGCAGCTCATGCTGCAGTCTTGGAGGAGTTGCGCCGTTATCGAGAGATGTATGGCCACTTGAACCCTGGAGTGGGAGTGAATTTCAGCAGGAGCAGCAGCAGCCGCAGCATCAGCAGCAGCAGCATGTGCAGCCGCCAGTGTTTGAGCCGCCGCCTATGGTAGTGCCGCCAGTGTTTGCTCAGCAGCAGTATGTGCCTCCACCGCCTCCTACGCCTGTCAATGTGTTTGGGCTGACCTATTATCAGGCCATGAAACAATTCAAGGATATGGGAATGAAAGCCTTTGGTGGGAGGTCTGATCCAGTGTCTGCGGATAACTGGAGGAAGAGGTTGGAGAGGAATTTTGAAGCCATGAGATGTCCGGAGGGTTACCGGAAGGATCTAGCTGTTCAGTATCTGAAAGAAGAGGCGCTGATATGGTGGGATGGTGTGGTCGAAGCGACTCAAGGTCGTTATGAGTTGACCTACCGAGATTTCCAGGAAGTTTCTGCTACAGACTATTTTTCACCTGAAGCCTTGGATCAGATGGAGAGTGCTTTTGAGGATCTGCGTCAGGCGAACCGTACTGTGAGGGAGTACAAGGAGGAGTTCAATCGGTTGAGGAGGTTCTCCAGGAAGCAGTTCACGCAGGCAGATTTGGTTCGTCAGTTCATGAAGGGCTTGAAATTGGAGCTGAGGAGCAGGTGTTCTCTTAGGAGATATGCCACCTTGGTGGAGCTTGTGGACACAGCTGCCATCCAAGAGACATCGCTTGAGGAGCTGAGGAAAGTCAGGCAGGTTCAGTCTCGTCCAAACCGTGCTCAGGAAGGGCCAAAGAGGACTTGGGACACTATGGCAGCTCTAGGGGCAGCTGTAATGTGTAAGAGGTGTGGAAAGAAGCACCCAGGAAGGTGTGGCGCCTACAAGTGTTTTGGCTGTGGTAGTATTGGCCACCATGAGAGGAATTGCACAGTCGTAGGGACTAACCGGTGCTACTGTTGTGGGAAGAGTGGCCATTAGAGGAGAGATTGCCCGGAGAATGCGAATCCTCAGCAAGGAGTGGGAGCATTGCCAGGACCACCAGCTAAGAGGCAAGCTGTGGAACCCCGTGTTTTCGCCATCAGAGATCCCGAAGGAGCAGCACCGATCGCTGGTTAGTAATGTTTTGTGAGATTCTATATTTTTTCTTGTGAATAGGAATGTAGAATGGAAATGCATGACTAGATATAAGTAATCATGTAGGATCGATCTCAGTAGGGGGCGCGATTGCATATACCTTGTTCGACACCGGTGCCACACATGGTTTTGTGCGCCCGAGGTTGACCAAGAGTTGGACCTTCTCCGGAAAGTTCACCCCCAGGTTGAAAGCAGTGGAAACTGCTGGAAGTGAGCAGGTGGAGACCATTGGAATCCATGAAGAGGTACCTATCTTGTTGGAAGGAGCAGATTTTCCTTGGACTCTAGTGGAAATGAAGTTGGGCCACTATGATGTTATCCTTGGAATGGACTGGCTGAAGCATTATGAAGTTGTCCTGAATTTCTGGAAGTCGAGGGCCTATGTTCCGCATTAAGGAGGTCGGATTGTCTTTCAAGGAGTAAAGACCGACACAGGAGTGCCAGTCATTTCGATGATTCATGCCGAGAATCTTATAGAGGAAGGATGTGAAGCTTTTTTGGCGACAGTCTCTATGGTAGGAGAGGGAGCATCTAAGAACCTTGAGGAGATACCAGTGGTGAATGAATACGCGGACGTATTCCAACCATTGAGTGGACCTCCGCCAAGAAGAAGAGTTGACTTCACTATCGAATTAGAACCAGGAACAGCCCCTGTTTCGAAGGTTCCATATCGATTGGCACCAGCAGAGATGGCTGAGCTAAAGAAGCAGTTGGAGGACTTGACGGATAAAGGATTTATTCGGCCAAGCAGCTCGCCATGGAGAGCGCCCATGCTATTTGTAAAGAAGAAAGATGGAAGCTTTCGACTTTGCATTGATTATAGAGGGCTGAATAAGGTGACCATCAAGAATAAGTATCCCTTGCCAAGGATTGATGAGTTGTTGGACCAATTAGAAGGAACTTCATGGTTCTCTAAGATTGATTTGGCGTCAGGCTATCACCAGATTCGGATATCAGAGGAGGATATCAATAAGACAGCGTTCCGAACTCGATATGGTCATTATGAGTTTGTGGTAATGCCGTTTGGATTGACTAATGCGCCTGCAGCTTTCATGGAGTTGATGAATAATATTTTTCGAGAGCACTTGGATAAGTGTGTGATTGTTTTTATTGATGATATCCTGGTCTATTCAAGGTCGGAGAGAGAGCATGAATAGCATTTGGGAATGATTATGCAGAAGTTAAGGGATAGCAGCTTTTTGTGAAGCTAAGCAAGTGTAGCTTCTGGCAGAGGAAGATGGGATTCCTTGGGCATATCGTCTCAGAAGAGGGAGTAGCAGTGGATCCTGAGAAGATCACTGCAGTGACAGAGTGGCCTGTACCTAAAAGTGTTACCGAGGTCCGTAGCGTTTTGGGTCTGGCTGGATATTATCGCAAGTTTGTGCCTAATTTCTCCAGTATTGCCAAACCCCTCACCAGCTTGATGGTGAAGAATGTAAAGTTTGAGTGGACGGATAAGAGATCTCGGAGTTTTGAGAATTTGAAGCAGAAACTCACAGAGACTCCGATATTGGTACTTCCAAGGTCAGGAATACCATATGATGTATACACCAACGCCTCTGGATCCGGGCTTGGATGTGTGCTTATGCAGGAGAAGAAGGTCGTAACCTATGCATCTAGACAGCTTTGGAAGCATGAAGTGAAATATCCGACTCATGATTTGGAGTTAGCAGCAGTAGTCTTTGCTCTGAAGATTTGGCGTGCTTACCTGTATGGGGAGAAAGTGCACATATATACTGATCATCAGAGTTTGAAGCATGTGTTCACTCAGGATGATTTGAACCTGAGGCAGAGAAGGTGGATAGAATTATTGGCTGATTATGATCTAGAAATTTCCTATCATCCTGGAAAATCCAACCAAGTGGCAGATGCTTTGAGTAGGAGGAGAAATGCGGTTTCTAAGGCTAAGGAAGCGCAAGAGCTGATAGCGACTTTGGCGAATTTGAGTTTGTGTGTCGCTGAAGTAGAGGATGATGCCGCAGGATTGGAAGCATTGGATAATGCCGACCTGCTAATGAGGATTCGTCAGGAGCAAGCGCTTGATTCGTCCCTTAAGAAGATTTTTGAGAAGCAAGTGGTTGGGTACCACAAAGCAGACAATGGGACTTACATGTATAGGAATTGAGTCTGTGTTCCCATGAATGATGAGCTGAGGAAGGAAGTGTTGAGTCAGGCTCACCAGTCGAAGTTTTCTATTCATCCAGGGAACACCAAGATGTATCGGGATCTGAAACGCTACTACCATTGGTCTGGTATGAAGCGTGATATTTCTGCTTGGATATCTCAGTGTTCTACATGTCAGCAAGTGAAAACAGAACAGATAGCACCAAGTGGACTTCTCCAGAACTTGCAATTACGAGAATGGAAATGTGATATGGTAACTATGGATTTTGTGACAGGGTTGCCCATGACACTAAGTAAGAAGAATGCGATTTGGGTAATCGTCGCCTTACTAAGTCAGCTCACTTTTTGCCAATTAAAAAGACGGATGGAGCGGAGCAGTTGGCGCAGAAGTATATTGATGTTATTGTGAGGTTGCATGGAGTTCAGTGAGCATAGTGTCGGATCGGGATCCAAAGTTTACAGCTAGTTTCTGGCAGGCTTTCCAAAAAGCATTGGGAACAAAGGTTCATCTCAGCACAGCATACCACCCTCAGACAGATGGCCAATCGGAGAGGACGATTAGGACCCTGGAGGATCTGTTGAGAGCGTGTGTCCTAGATTGGGAAGGAAGTTGGGAGAAGCATTTGCCGTTAGCAGAATTCGCTTATAATAATAGTTATCATGGTAGCATTGGGATGGCACCATATGAGGCTCTATATGGTCGGCCTTGTCGCACACCTCTGTGCTGGAGATAAAGAAGAAATGAGAATGCTAGAGCAAGAGCTCCTTGAGGAAGCGTCTAAGCAAGTGGAAATGCTTAAGACAAGGTTGAAAGAAGGTCATGATCGCCAGAGGAGCTATACAGATCAGCGAAGGCAGGAATTGTCTTTTGAGGTTGGCGATATGGTGTATCTAAAGTTGAGGACCTTCAGAGGGAATGATAAGAATCGGAAGATGAAGAAGCTTAAGCCTAGGTACATGGGACCGTACCCTATCCTGGAAAGGATTGGAGAAGTGGCTTACCGCTTGGAGTTGCCCAAAGAGTTAGCTGAGTTCCATGATGTGTTTCATATCTCTCTCCTATGGAAATTTGTGAGGGAGCCAGAGCTCATTTTGCCCCAGCCGCCAGAAGATGTAAGGAAGGCCTTCTCAGCAGCATATCGGCCTGTGTCAGTGTTGGAATTTCGGGAAAAGGAGTTGAATGGTAAGAGGAAGCCAGCGGTTAAGGTATATTAGGAAAGAGATGGAATCCGCGAGGAAACCTGGGAAGTAGAACAGGAAATGCGGAAGGAATTCCCGGAACTCTTTAAGGACAAGGGAGAAACCGGAGGAGTGGAAGAGAATTCGGGGACGAATTCTATGGAAGTAGGGGAGAGTTGTAACATCCCAAACCCAGCCCAATTAGAGGAGGCCCAACAAATTCAGGCCCACTCCAGAAACCCTAATATAAATAGGGAATTAGGAGTTAATGAGCCTCATTTTGCCTCTAATTACCCTAGCCCCCAAAGAAAAGAAAGTGAGAGAGAGAAGAAGAAGCTGCACGCCGCCGCCGAGGAGGAGAGCCGCCGCCACCGGAGAAGCTTGCCGCCGCTGCCGCTTGCCGAGAGAAGAAAGAGCACTCACCTGCCTCCACCTTCTCAGAAGCTGCTTGATTCTTTTGCCTCTTCTAGTTCTCGTTAATCTCAGATCTGATTTTAGGCCAAGGTGAGGATTAGATCTAGGTCTTTCTTCTTATCCCTTTATCTTCTCTAGTGTGTTGAGTCTAGATCTGGTGGGACAGGTATGACTTCTTGTGCATCTAGGCAGATCCATATATATATATATATAACTAATAAGATCTAGGATCTCATTAGAGGAAGAACCAGTATGATTGATTGATAACTCTGTTGATTGGTTAGTGATTGGTAGAAGTCCTAAAGGTCATAGTCTGTTTCTGGTATAGCGATGTGCCGAATGCAGGCTTGTTTGTTGGGTTATGTGCCGTCTGTGTGACCGTGGCAATAATCCATTCATCCGGTGGAGTGATGACCCACGGGGCTGTCCATGTGGCATGCCGGGATTGGACTGTCTGTGTGACAGGGTCTCTGTCTGTGTGACAGGGTGTCTGTCTGTGTGACAGGGTGAGATGTCGACCTGTGTCCGAGTGACAAGGTGGTTTGGCCTATTGAGAGGCGGGACGGAGACATCTCTGCTTGTTAGTTGCTTGTGCACTTGTAGAGTGCTTGTTTGGTTTCATTAGATTTAATCTTAATATGTTGATGGAAATAAATGAATAAGGCGGGAGCCTGGTTTGGTTCTCACTGAGTAATTCTCCCAAATTACTCACCCCTCTCTCTTTAAATTCCGTTATGCAGGTGAATGTGATTGTGATGATGTCTTGGAAGAACTAGACGAGTAATTCTTGTGTGGTGTGCCTTCAGAAATGGAGGAAGTTTTATTGTTTTTAAGAATTATTTCACCTTTCTTTTTAAGACAATGTTTCTATTTTATTTCAGATTTAATCAGTTATTTCATTTCTATTGTAAGACTTGGATTTTGGGTTTGAATTTGAATAAAGAACAACTAGTTATTTGGAATTGGTTTAGTTTAGGTTAGTTAATATCTCGGTTTATTTTGGTTTCCTCCGGAACCAGGAATCGGAGTGTTAAATAACTAAATTATATGTTATTTTATGATTATGAGAACAAGTTATAAATTGATCATTTAGAGTTTTAGACAATAATTCGAAATTCAAATACTTCATAATTTTTTTTTTTAATTCAGTACTTTTTAATTTTCTTAAGATAAGTTACTTATTATCATCATCCCAACTGTAACAAAGATTTATACTAGAAGTACGGAGAAAAAAAATACTAAAGGTAATTAGATCCCAAAACTTGTACCTATTTTTATCCTGTAAAAATGTTAGAAGCAAAGTGATCACGATCACCTGGAAACCACAAATGTTTGAGTTTGTTAAAACTGATTATGACAAGTGTCATTAAGAGACCATTAAGGCTTCCCAAAAAAGTGCTAAATTTCACATCATCAAGTCCTTTTTAATATGTAACCTTGGACTTGAAAACCACAAGTAGAAATAGTAAAAAAAATAGATGACACTTGTGAGAGAGCGACGTCACCAAGAACCACTCACACTCTCTATTTCACCACCACATTACCACCGCACCACCGCCTCTTTCATCGCCGGAGACCCATCTCCGTCGTCATTTTCATCAAGCCCTGAATCATCATCGCCGGTTGAAACCTTAAACGACCTAGAGAAACTCACCGTTTTAGGACAAGGAAGCGGCGGAACAGTCTACAAAACCCGTCACCGGAGAACCAAAACGCTATACGCTTTAAAAGTCCTCCGGTCAAATCTCAACATCACCACCGTCGAAGCAGACATTCTCAAACGGATTGAATCCAGCTTTATCGTCAAATGCTACGCAGTTTTTGTGAATTCATATGATCTATGTTTTGTGATGGAGCTTATGGAGAAAGGATCTCTCCACGACGCATTGCTTGCTCACCACGTTTTCTCAGAGCCGGTGATATCCACTTTAGCTAACAGAATCCTACAAGGGTTACGTTACTTGCAAGAAAGGAGAATAGTTCATGGAGACATAAAGCCTTCGAATCTGCTTATAAACGAGAAAGGAGAAGTCAAGATTGCGGATTTTGGAGCGAGTAGGGTTGTAGCAGGAGGAAGCTATGGTTCGAACGGGACATGTGCTTATATGAGTCCTGAACGTGTGGATCCAGAGAAATGGGGTTTTGGTGAAGTTGGATTTGCTGGGGATGTGTGGTCGCTAGGAGTAGTGGTTCTTGAGTGTTTTCTTGGAAGGTATCCATTGACCAAGATTGGAGATAAACCGGATTGGGCGGGTCTGATTTGTGCGATTTGTTGTGATGAGAAGGTGGAGATTCCGGCGAGTGGTTCGCCGGAGTTTAGAGATTTTGTTGAGAAGTGTTTGGAGAAGGATTGGAGGAAGAGAGGTACAGTGGAAGAGCTTCTTCTTCATCCTTTTGTGAAAAACAGATTGTAGTAATCTCTCTCTCACAAGTTTTGTTTTCTTTTTTTTTTGTTTTGCAGAGTTAAGTCTGGATATTCAGTTTTGAATACAAAATTTTAATTCAGTTTTGTTCGGTTTAGTTTGAAAAAACCTAGTTCAGTTTTGGACTATTTTTTGAATAAAATCATCTATCTTTCAAATGAAAAATATGGATATTTCTATTGACTTCATAAGTTTACATTGATCTTCTTCTTTCAAAAAAGGCGAAAAATTCAACAATAGATTGAAACTTCGACACAGGTTCTCACCGTGATAAAGTGTGTAAATTAACAGTTGCAAGAAGCAGGCATTTAAACACAAGTTTTGATATAAGAAAATGAGAAATAATGATCAGTGCTTGAAATGAATATGCAGCTCTCATGGAACAGAGTAGGCTGTTACTTCAAAAGACTTCAAAACTTCCCATATCAGGGATTTTGCCTGAATAAAATTAAACATTATGAAGATATAAAGAAAGCATATATTAGTTGACTTAATAGAGTTTTTCTGTCTTAATGAATACTTATAAAGTCATCTTCATTACCTTGAGGGATCTACGGTTTCAGGCGAGAGGAGACCCATTTGTTGTGTAAGCTTATCCACATGTTTAGTTTTGTCCCATCCATTTTGCTTCTGCTCTGTCTCATTCTCCTTGGCTTTAAGATCCACTGTAGTTAATTCCATATCATCTGGTACCGGGCTTGTCAGTAAATCTTCAAACAGTGCAGAGTAAGCATCAACCGAAGTTTCTAAATCGGGATCCATTGGAATGTCGTCAAGGTCAAAGGGTGAACCATTAATGAACAGATCTGAGTCTAGGAAAGGACCAAGATCTTCCATGTTTGGTTCCATGAAATTCTCTGGAGGCATCTCTGCGATATTCTCTGGTAACATATCAGCAAACTCGGGAAGAGTTGGATCATCAGGTGAAGGAATTGCTTCTTCTGGTGTTGGAAACTCAGCTACTGTAACATTTTCAGGAGTTGCTCCACTCGGTGACGATGAAGCTGTTGGCATCTCCTGAAGAGTTATACCCGAAACTACATGGTTGTTTGATGAAATCTCCATCTCTGTTCCTTCTGTATTGGAAGTACAGTTATCAAGAAGGAAACCATCATCATCGCCGGTTTTGTAAGGTTCCATCTTCATAAGCTGTCTGAACATTGCCTTTGCTTGCTCATGCATTGGAGGTTGATATTTCACTATCTGTCCATCAGGAGAAGCAGAGTCCTTTTTATTACTGACAATGCCATCTCGTTTGAATCTCCGCTTCTTATTGGTATCGCTGATTCGCCTACTACTCTCGTTTTGCTGATTCTGCTGCTGCAAGAACTGCGATAGAAAATGAGGGCTTTGCACTGCCTTTGCAAGGAATGACATTAATTGTTGTTGCCGATTCTCCATGCCTTGGAGACGCTGGACCATCGTGTGAAGTTGGTTATCAGTGGATTGTTGCTGCTGTCTTAATCTGACGAGTTCTTGCATGAGGACGTTCTTATCTCTTTTAAGCCTCTCAACTTCTTCTTCGAGACCAAATTTGCCAACTTCAACACATGCACTAACAGATGAGTTCTGCGCATTTGAGTGCTGAGATTGCTGATGTCCATGTCCATGTGCAGGTTTTCGTCTACTTATTGTTTTTAGCAAGTGCTTCTGACCTCTTAAGAAACCTTCATTTGCAAATTCCCATCTATCTGGGTCAACCTTCCTGAAACCCTGTTTCAAGAAAAGGCACGCACAAAGGAATGAATATGGAGTCCACAAAACAAATGAGAAAGAAGTGGCCCGATATGTAATTCTTAAGTGCAAATCTAATAAGTTCAACATAGAGCCTAATTGCCAACTACACAGAAAGTAACTTATTAACTGGAATCACATGCTCTAGGGAAAATTTCATTCAGAAGTCGAGTAAACGCAACAGACGAATCACAGTCAATCAGATCTGGTATACTAAATACTACATGTTCTTATTGTGGGTCTTACCGAACCAGCCAAATTAAAGAAAGAAACCAAAAAATCCAATAGCGAGTATAGTAAACTAATAGAGTAAAGGTCTCTATGATATACCAGTGTAATCTGTATATTAGTATGCATGCAATAAACTAACAAAAATTAAACTTGGATTCGAAATCATCATAAATAGTAACTAAGGAATTATACTATACACGGAATACAAGCAAGAAGTGTCTGCAGAGAAGTCGAGTTTATTTAAGGGCATTCACCATCTTGCAGCGTTATTAGCATCCCTAGAGAGTACAAGCTCATTCATCAAGAGCTTGTATAGAGCAAAGCTTTTATAGTCATCTGCTTATATAGGCAGGTACAAGCTCCATACAAGCATACGACTACCTAATCTAAATGCAATTGTACAGAGCACATCTATGATTCCCACCACTGACATGTCGGATAAAAGATATTGCAGCACCGAACACACCCATATATCTACTTATGATATGGTTTCTATTCCAGGCACTACCAATTTCAATGACATGTTAGGTTTTCTATTGACGTACTTTCACCATTAACCCGCGACTCATCTACAGCAAGATGATACATAGTAATACAGAAAGTTGATAACCTTGCACTCAGGTCATGATCAACATGAGACTTGCTTTCTTTTCCAATTTTCTTCTTTCTTCTCCTTTATAATTGCTGAGAAAATTCAGGAAGGTTCATTACTATCTTAGACCAAATACTAAACCTTATTACAAGGAGACAAACAGAGAGAAAAGACATCAATCTAATCAGTTATCCCCCTAACTTTGTATGTAGAGTAAGCTTCATCGACGCCCTAATAAATCTAACATCCCCCCTACACCATTGACTACCCCAGGAATCTACATTCAATTGAAAACCTGGTTAGACTGATTATAATTTCAAAAATGTGGTTCATGTCCTAATAAACAGGACCAATACTTTATTCCTAATTGTCCCAAACAAGAAAACTATTTGAGAAACTCTTAAACCTTGAGGTTCTAACCTAAACAATCACAAAGATATCAGTCTTCAATAATAATACAGAAACGAATAAAGTAGGCTCATTCAGAAAGCTAACTATCCATTCCATTGGCTAAACCATAATAGAAGCAAGAAACTTCGTTTCTGTTCATTTCTTCATCCAAGAGTAATACAAAATTAGCATTTCATTGGCTAAACCATAATAAAAGCTAGAAACTTCTCTGCACAGTGAGTTAAAGCCATTGCAGGATCTCTAAATCACTCAACGAACGATATTTATCAAAACCTATGAAAATTAAAAAGTGAGAGAGAGAGGAGTAAAGAGGGGAATTACGTAGGTATTGAGCTGCCTAACGAAGGAGGAGAAGTTATTGTGCTTAAAGTTTTTGGGAAGAAGATCTCGTGCGAACTGTGGAGGATCCCATACGATAAAACTGTTGTTGTTATCACTCCACGATATAATAGAATCGGTAGATGAATCATTAACCATGTCGTAGGTCTTGCTCAGGAACGGAGGAAGCGTGTTTTCACTTAGAACCGCCACAGGCTGTGGTTGAGGAGGAAGAGGAGGCTGATTCTGATTCTTCTCCGTTGATTCCTTTGTTACGGATCCTCCTCCTCCTCCACCGTCGCTGGTGGACTCCTTGCTGCTTCTATTATTACCATCCATTCCGATTTTTGTTTTGTTTCTAAGTCAGCAATAGAGATTTGAGAAAATTTAGGGTTTCAGCAATTGATAAACCCCCAGAGCGTTATATGTGAGGATTTTTCGGGTGAGAGAAGTTCGATTTTAATGTCACAGAGAAGATATAGAGGATTTCTCAAAGAACAGAGACGAGAGAGAGAGAGAGAAATCTGAGGGGAGTTTTATGGAGGAAGGAGAAAGAGAGACGACGAGAGACCCCTGAAACAGTTGCGAAATTACGGAAATAGACATTCGCCTTTTTGTTGTCTCTAGAAAAGTGCAGCCTCGTAAACGTGATTTGTCCACGTGTCGTTTTACTATTGGCTCTTTCTTTATCGTTTTATTGGTTAAGTTACTCGCCTGACAAGGCAACCGAAGGAACTTTGGGTCTCTTTTGTGTCGGCATTAAGTGGTTTGGTTTCCGGTTTAGGTAATAAAACCGACTTTCGACATTCGTGTGTACATATGTTTCGAACTGGGAAAGAAAACACAGGAATACATTCGTGTTGTTCTTTTTAACTAATCAACTAATCAAAGTTTAAACCTCTTTAGTCAAGTTTAAACATAACAAGAACATATATAATATAATAAATACTGAAACCTAAGTCGAAAAATGATACAAACCTTATCAATACAAATGACAACCTCTGGAGAAAGAAAAATCCAGAATCTGAGTTTGATCTTTCCAATTATGTCTTTTACCCATCTGTGTGCTGCTTGCAACCCTTTGGTCCATAATGCTGACCACATCGCTTCACCACTTTCTTGCAAAGGTAACAAAAATGTGCTTGACACGCCCAGCAAAACAAGTGATTGTTGTTTCCCATCTACACAAATATAACCAATTCAAGACTCATCTTCCATTTAACCACAAAACCCAAGAACTCGGAATCGAGTTAATTTTTCTTTACCTTTGCGTTGAACTGGCGGCAATTAGGGCATAACTGACCACGCTGCAGGAACTGACCGTATTCTGCAAACAGTTGAGCTTGAATCTGTCCAATGACTTGTCGCTCATTCATCATCATCATATCATTGAATTCTTGGATCGCGTCTTGTGGGAACAGATTACATGATCCCTCGCTTTTTCCCCACAAAAGAAAATGGTGATTGTTTATTAGTTCCAAGATATACAACATATGTATCAAATATTTATGTAAACATAGGTAAAAAATTTACAAACCTGAAATGTTCATAACCAGTGATAGCTTTGCAGCAACGGTAGCAAAAGTATTGGCCACAGTTATTGCAGACCATTTTATTACAACCTCCGGTTCTTGAGATGGCCATTTTGCACGACGGGCATTGCTTTGAGCTTTGCTTTATCAGACTCACACTGATTAACTCATTGATCATTTCTTTTTCTTTTCGCCTTTGTTCCTCTCCAAGACGAGAAGAGCTTTGACGACCCTGATTAGTGTAAGAAAGAGTCCGGTTTTTAAGTTTTCTTGGGTATAACAAACGTAAAGTTATAATGATTGATCATACCTCCAAGATTTGAAGCTTAAGTTCCGGGCTCATACAAGTAACACCCACGTGTCGTTTTTCCTTGCAAAGCGTACAGAAACTGAAGTAGCATTTGAAACATAGAGCAAGCTGCTCCTCGTCCTCTATGCACGGGGTTTCACATCTAGGACAGTAAGCAACGTCCTTCATGGTTTCCAGTGTTTTCTGTAACATTAGAGTTTCCCAACGTTCATACGCTTCATCGCCCAACAATATCTTCAATATACCTGGAGGAACAATTTCTCCACATTTCGAATCCGGACACTGAAGCTTGTTAACCGTGCCTTCAAAGACATGTATGTCTGCATAGGTCTTGAGGCATTTCTTACAAAAAATATGCTGGCATGGTAACTTAACAAAGTCAAAACCTGTTGATCAAGTATCAACCAGCTTAAATTCAACCAACCCCACAATACTGAAACAAAACAGCTATGAAAAAGAAAAACAAGTTCTTTACCTGCAGATTCAGAGAAGCATATACAGCACTCGTGTAAGCTCTTAAGGAAGCTCTCGTGGCGTTTTTCTTCGTCGTAGCTCTTAATATAAGGGATATCTGCATCAGGTGAACGACTTCCGGAAACAGCACGCTTATCTCTGGAACAAGCAACGCCATAAGGACCAAGAACAATCTCGTTATCAAAGCCGAGATGAGACATAGAAGAGTTCTGTAGCCAATCTGTCCATTGGTATAGTACTTCTTGCCCTGGCTGTTCCATCCAAATCGAGTTCAGCATGGAGCAGAGGCTTGAAATCTTATCAGGATTCATCCACTGAACACTTAATATAAAGTAAGGCGGCAAGTGGCTCGGATAAGCATTTGGTAATAAACATGTCAACACAATTGGCGGGAGGTACTGGGCCTTGAATGAGTAGAGGAAATCCTCCGACTCCTTGCTTGAGTCAGCTTGTAAGTTGAGCTTCGCAGAGACAGTATACTCACTAGTAGCTTCAACGTTTACATGAATCTTCAAAACCAATAAAAGGGTCTTTGACTATTAGAACACTTGTTATGACAACACAATATCGATACAAAACTTGCAAGCTTATTTCCTGACCTGAAAGTATCGCATATCTTTATGCCGTTCAAGGATGAACATGTTACCTCCATAGATGTACCCTAGTGCCAGAAGCTGCAAGAAATTCAAACAAACCACGAAGTCTATATGAACAGAGACACTAAACCACAAAACCAGCACAAAGAAGTTAGATGGAAAGAGAATCAGACCAATACAAATAACAACCAGCATGATTCCAAAAAGAACAAGAATCTTCCAATAGCATATTATGAAACCTCAATTTTAGAGCTTATAGCTTAAATTCAAACTCCTTTTAACTTTTTATCAAGCCTAAATAGCAACATTCTATCAATAAATCTCCTTTGGGCTATCGAAAATATCACAAAGTCACAAAACCCATAGCTCGTTTTACCTCATCTTCTTGCAATTGATCATTCGTTCTTAGTTGCTCCTCGGTTAGCTCCGGCTCGCTAACGCTAGATCGCAAATCCTTGAGAATAGTCAGCATAATATCTTCAGCGACTTCTTCAGTTTCATCTCTCCTCGCCGCCGATTCCTCACAATTCAAATTCTCACCGGAACTGAGATGAAACTTCTCCTCCGTACTCGAATTTCCACTTGGATTCTTATCAATCACCGAATCCGAATTCGAACTCTGTTGAAGCTTCAAGCTACTCAGCTCATCACCCAAGCAATCAGAAGCATCGGATTCTGAAAATTTCACCTCCGATTTCACCTCGTAGCGAGGATTTGAATTGCGACGACTTCGAGACCCCGACCTATGATTCCGGCGAGGATTTGTAGGACGATGATGATCGAGGTTTTTCGACGGCTGAGAAGTAGACGGAAAAGATGCAGAAGACCGATCCGTGCCGGTCATCTCTTCTTGCTGATGATCCGATTGGTGGATTGATTTACAATCCCACCATTTTTTCCGGTCGTGACTTTTTTTTTTTCACTGCCTGTACTTCGTCATATATGGCGGTCGGAAAAGCAAAAGCTTGAAACCGGATTTATATAGAGCCTTTTTCGGAAATCGGGCTAAGAATCGGATCAAATTGGCCCATTAACCGAAATTGGGCCTTAAAAGGTTCCGCATATGCTAAGCTTCAAAACGTTTGCAATTCCTCTGTCTCTCTCTCTCTTTCTCTTTCTTTCTCTGTTCCCTACATTCTCTGCGCAAAAGGAATCTCTTACAATGGCTGAAACTGTAGAGACGGTAAAGCTAAGTGTGAGGCTTCTCGTAGATGAAGAGAAGAACAAGGTTGTCTTGGCTGAAACTGGTAAAGATTTTGTTGATGTGCTCTTTAGTTTTCTCACACTCCCAATGGGAACCATTGTCAGATTGCTTGAGAAACATCGGAAATCGCCTCAAGTGGTTGTAGGATGTCTAAAAAATCTTTACAAAAGTGTTTCAGACATGGGTGCTGAGAGTTTTCAGACAGAATCTTGCAAGCAAGTGCTAATGTATCCTAGGAGTGTGAATCATGATAAGTACAGAAGGGTTAAGCTGAAAATAGATGACACTGAGGCTGTCAACTACTTTGTTTGCTCACGTTGTGACTTGAGTGAATCCTTCACAAGATTTTACAGCATTGTGAACACCGAGGAATGTGGGTGTGGAAGATTTGTAGACTCGAAGATTGTTAGAGGATTGATGAATAGGAAAATTCAACTGGAAGAAGAGAAAGTCCAAGAGAATATTATGAGAAATGAGAGTGATGAATTTTTTGTCAGTTCTGAGACTTCTTTCGTCATAACCGATGATCTGCTTCCCTCGTATTATAGTTGTCCCAAACAGTTACTTGATGTTGTCACTGAGCAACAAGAAATCTATTACAGTTTCTATCGCTACAGAAGTGGAAGAACCTCTGACCATAAGTTCACTAGAAAGATGCCTGATTGTCTTAACTCTCAAAGTGAAAGCAACCTGGACATGTATGATAAGCACAAAAAAGCTGGTGCTAGAGTTTTATATATGAGAAGTTTTGGGTTTGTGAGGAGAAACACAAGGTTTTTGGTAACTGATGATTTGGTTATCAAACCGAAGGACTCTGTTTCAAACATTAGTTTGCTAAAGTTGCAAATGCACTTAGAGGAGAAAGATGTTGATGAACAAGTGATCACCATTGGGAGACTGGAGGTATGGTTTTTCTCTTCAGTTTCATTATAAGTCTTTGCCTTGAGGGAAGAAAAAAAAAACGGGATTTCATAGAGTCTATCTTCTATTGCAGGCTATGAATTTGCTAAGAGCTTCAATGATGACATCTTCAGCTTTGACTACTTGTTTCTGGAACTTAATCGCAAAGAAAGCCAAAGAAGAATCTTGAGAGAAGAGAAATTGAGCTTTGATTTTAACTGTTGGTCTTTAATTTTTATCTTCTTGGTGAAAATGTCGAACATGTCATTTACTTGTGATGGATTGTTCTAGTTTTCAAGATGCTTTACCTTAAAGTTTCAAATGGTGTTGACTGAATAGTAATCTTTCAAACAAATAGGATGTTTCATATAAGACTGCCTAAACTTTAAGGACTCATGTGTAATATAACCAGGCCATTTTTCTTCTCTCCCAGAATCTGTTTGATTCTACAAATGATATTGTCTGTATATGAAGAAACACTGTTATATGAATTTGTAAACTAAGAATCTCTTTGATTCTACACTAAGCAGATTACACACAAGTCTGCTTTTCTAACAATTGAGGTTTCCATACAAAAAGCTATACGAACAACTCTTAAACGTTTCTTGTTGGAATCTGCTTTTCTCCTCCATTCACATTCCCTGGTGAAAATCTAAAAGATCAGAGTCAGCTTCTCTGTCAAAATCATCCTCAACAAATACGAGCTCGCATGTGCTTGAAGCTCGGGAAGAAAGTGTCAAATCCTTGATCATCTCAAGGTTTGACACATGATACTTTGTATTAGCCAAGATTGTTGCCGTCTTCAAGCGACAAGCGTTCTTCAAGATGTAAACCGCAATATCTCTCTCTTGTGGTCTCCCAAAGTATCGTGACCAGTTGAGAATCTGTAGACTAGACAACAAGCATTGAGGAACAGAACTCGGTTGATTCCAGCAAACCATTTCGTTAATCCCATCATCCCCATGATCCTGATGAGACCAAGCAGAAGAACTAGATAAAGACCATACTACGCATTAAAATAACATCCAAAGAAAAAGTTTATCCAAGAGACTTACTTCAAGTCTAGTACTCCCAAGAATGTGAGAGATGTCTAGTACTCGTAAGTTTGGAGAATTTTTTAGCAACTGGCCAAGGAGATTCGATGATTCCTCTCTGCACAAACATAGCTGCAAATGTTCAAGCTGGTTGAATACAAAACCAGCACCAGACACATCATCCTGCATGCCGACCAATATTGAAAAAAATCATTAGCAGAGGATTCTAATGAAGACTTGCTGCAATTGATAAACGAAAGAAAACTGTTCACCTCTGAACATAAAGTGAGACGCTTGACAGATGTGATTGATCTAATAAGACTCTTGAGATCAAATGATACCACCTCAACATATGCTTCCTTCAAATTTGGCATACTCCTAATCTTAGGTTTGTGTGCCGTATCAATCCTATCCTCAAGTCTGAAATACTCTAAAGAAGGAGTATCTATCACATACCCATTTAACAACGAGTAATTAGATATCAAGAGTGATAATCTCCGCAAAGTCGGGACGATAACACTGAACTCTTGCAGATCGTCCATATTACCAATATTCAGTTCTTCAAGAACAGGACATATAGACAGAAGTCGTTGTAGAGATTCTTCATTATCGTATCTAACATTAAGCGTCAAGGTTTTCAGAGATGGAAGACAAGCCGTTGATGGAACATCCATGAGTCTCAAGTATCCGAGTTTCAAGACCACGATGGATTTGCAGGTGTAAAAGCTGCTCGGGAATATGTTTTCCCTCCTCAAAGAATAAGAAATCTCTAGCTCACGTACATGGAGAGAAACCGAAGTATCAACCTACCGTTTGATATCTTCAGGTTTAATTTGTGGACTAGCATAAGGGAGGTCGAGACACAAGCTTTGAAAGAAGGGAGCTATATGTAGTGGCAGATTTCTGTGTAAAAACACCGTAAACTCTCGCAATCAGACACTGAAAGATAATTTCTATCAATGTACTCAAGCTTCGGCAACAACATCCAAAGAAACTCCCATCGCTTAGACAAGACGCTAGTGGATGCAGCAACTTGTGTTGGAAGAAACGATAATATCTTCAGCAGCAAGTCATCAGGAAAATCACAGATTCTGACCATATCGTATAGATTCGCCTGAGATACTTAAAAAAAAATTGGATTCTTGTACTCCCTGAGGAAAAAAAAGAAAAAAAAAAAGAACACAAGGAATCAACAACGCAAGACTCATAAAGGGTTTCGTCTAAAGCCGAGAAAATGAACAGAACAAAACCCTAGAAAAGCCCTAAAAGAAAAGACCTGTGATTGTGAAGTTAACGAAAGGCTCGATCTTTGCTCGGAAACCGGAATCAAATCGGAAGTTTCACAAGAAGTGCGAAACTATATACCCATTTCACTTTTCTAAATAAATGCGATTGAATCTTTGATTTAAGAATCGAGAAAGGGTATATACGAAATGAGACTTGAATTGAGAAAGAGAGGAGGAAGAAGAAGAAAGAAATCGGATTTCACAGACGAAGGTGGTTCGTTATCATCGTCGCTAAATATCAAATAGTTTCGGATTCAATTTTTATTCGTTTTTAGCGAATTGCTTGTTCAATGAACTAATAATGATCTGATTTTTCATGGGCCTGATCCTGGACTGTATGCTTTTACTCATAAGTTTTTCTTTCTTTTTAGCATTTTAACAGAACTAAATCAACTGGGTAAACAATTTGATAATAACGGGTAAAAAATTAAGAGTATTTAAGATATGAAAATTTTCATTTCGCCCCCAAAAATTTATAAACTTCATTTTCGCCCCCAGAAGTTACCAAAAGCTCCCCTCTGAACTTTTCTTTAGTTTTTTTCTCGGGAAACTCATCAAATCACAATGAATCGAGGAACCCTAAATCGGTACTCTACGTTTGAGAGATTCAGTTATTAGAAGAGCATGGAAAGCTCAAAGGGGATGTTAATTGGGTTTACTCCTTTATCAATGTCAAATTGGAAAAATGTATTTCAAGTTCTTACCTTTAGGACATGGGGAAGCTCAAAAGGGGTGCTTTTTACGCGATATGGCGTTTGGGGTTTGATGCGTGAGTCATATATGAGTTTATGTTAAACCTCTTGAGATTCACACACGACCGTTGGTTATTCATTACTATATGTAGAGGCAAAAGTCTCTCACTTTTGTCTCTTCCGTTTCTTGTTTAGTGGTTTTTACTCGGTTTCCTTAATCTCCAATGGCTAAAAGTGCAATCTTTAGCTAGAAATTCCTCTTTGATGAGTAGAGAAACAAAGTTGTATCCTAGGAGTGTGAATCATGATAAGTACAAAAGGATTAAGCTGACAGTAGATGATACTGAGGCTGTCAATTATTTTGTTTGTTCACATTTTAACTTTACTGAATCCTGCAAAAGAATTTACAGCATTGTGAACACCGAAAAATGTGGGTGTGGAGGATTGATAAATAGGAAGATTCAGGGACTGGAAGAAGAGAAAGTTCAAGAGAGGATAATGAGAAATGATAGTGATGAAGTTTTTGTTAGTTCTGAGACTTCTTTCGTCATAAACGATGATTTGAAAGTGGCTCCAAGCTCTATGTTGGTGGTACGCTCCGCTCCTCGGTCCGGACTGGTTAGAGACCGAGACCGGCCCAATTGACTCCGGTTTACGATGGTCTTAGCCGAAATGGGTCTGGCCTGACATCACGGCCCATTAGAGAGAAGCCCAGCGACGAGAGGCGGTGAGAGCTGAACGAGAAGCCCTAGAACGTCTCCTCGCTTGTGTATTATAAATAGTAGAATTGTTACTGTAGAAGGGATCTTTTTTCGGACCCGGAGAATAGAGACCTGAATATTGTATTGAGTTCGTCGAGAAACCTCCGAACTGAACGAACTGTAATTGGGAACTTAATAAAATCTAATCAACTTAATCTCTTTCGAACTCAAATTACCGGACCGACCTCGAATAGTTGAATACCGTAATCAACAATTGGCGCCCACCGTGGGGCCGGTTCGGTAATCGGCCAGGACGATATGACAAGTGATGATAAACAACCAACCTCAGTCCAGGTCGGGAGTCAGATGACCTGTGCAGATGAGACCACCCAGGTCGGAGGACCTGCGGGCCAGGTCGGAGGGCCTGTAGAGGAACGCGAACGCAGCCCCGTACAACCCCAACCGGAAGCGCAACAAATCAGGGCGGAGCCGAGCTCAAGCGCAGGGGCTCACCGAACCTCACCAAACCGAGCTCAAGCTGCCTTCGATCCAACTGCGCTTATGAACGCCTTCGCCGCGCAGATGCAAGAGTTGGTCAGAAGCAACGACGCGAAGTTCGCAACCCTCACCGCACAGATCTCCAACCTACAGCAAGAGAGTCCGATCAGAAGACGAAACCTCATTAGTGACTTCCAAGAAGAGCGAGATCCGCAATGCACAGTGGCGCGGTCAGTAGTTCAGCAGCACCAGCAGACGGAGAGCCCATCCCAGCACGTGCGAGCTCAACCAACAGCGCGCGACCTGGAGATCGAGCGGATGCAGGCTCAACTACGAGAGATCAGTTCGAAGTTTCACCAAGCCACCAGCTCGGCACCCGAAATCGACCGCGTAATCCAGGAAGCACAGAAAACACCGTTCACTTCCCGGATCACCAACGTCCCCGTCCCAAACTTAGAAAAGTTTAAGCTACGGTCGTACGAGGGGAACTCCAATCCGAGACATTTCCTTACCTCGTTCGGTATCGTAATTAACCGACTGAAGTTCACCTCGGCCGAACAGAAGGACGCGATTCAATGCCAGCTGTTCGTCGAACACCTCGAAGGCATAGCTCTAGATTGGTTTTCAAGATTGGAGGCCGACTCCATCGACAACTACAAGGAGCTCTCGACGAAGTTCGCAAAGCATTTCTCGATGTTCATCGGGCAGAAAACTCGTAACTCCGAGCTGTGGGAAACCGCGCGGAGTAGTGAACCAGGCAGGACCGTCGAACCAAAGGACAGGACGACCTCCAAAATCTTGGAACACATGGCACAAGGACGACGATACGCCGCTGAGCGAACGTTTTTGCCAGTATCACGAGCGATATGGGCACAGCACAGAGGAATGCCGACATTTGAGGGACTTCTTACTTCAACAGTTCCGCAAGGGCGAGATCGACACCGCAGATTTACCTAAACCGGGACCTCGCCGGCCAAACCCGCGACCAAACAAACCCGGCAATCAAGAAGCCGCTAAGGCAGCCGACTCCGATGAAGAACAGGTAGCTCCCCCTAAACAAGATCGCGAAGCACCTAATAGAGAGGCGAACGTCCCCAAAACCAGGAAGAAGGTCAATATGATTATGGGAGCCCTCGAATCATGCAACTACTCCGTCCGAGCCCTCAAAGAATATAGCCGGTAGGCGTCGAGTTTGCAGCCCCAAACGACGGTAACAATTGTGCCACTGTTGTTTACTGAAGCCGGCCTGCGGGGAGTGCATATGCCTCTTAATGATTGCCTCGTCGTCGAACTCCAGCTCGGAGATGTTGAAGTAAGCAGAATATTAATCGACACAGGGAGCTCGGTAAACATCATATTCAATGAAACATTAAAGAATATGGATTTTCCGGACTCCGAGATCAAGCCTTACATGGAATCATTGACCGGGTTCACCGGAGAGAAAACAAGAACGGTAGGAACAGTGAAGATACCCATCTAAGTCGGCGGGTCGGCTCAAATGATCAAGTTTCTGGTCCTCAACAAACCGGTGATATATAATGCAATTTTGGGAACGCCCTGGCTGTTCGACATGAAGGCCGTCGCTTCAACGTTCCATCAGTGCGTCAAGTTCCCGATCCCAACAGGGATTTTCACCCTCAAAGGACGCCAGACCGCGTCCCGATTATGCCATCTCACCGAATGCAAACTAAGTCTCGCACGGACGTGCGTCATAAGCCCCTTTCAGGAAGGTCGGGCGGCCGCAGAGAGCCAGTTCGGTCTACCCAAACAGAGCCAAGTCGACCAAGTCTGCATCGATCCGACAAATCCAGAAAAGTGTGTCGGCATAGGGGTCGAGCTCGACAACAGTATCCGGGAAGCACTCATCAGTTTCCTCCAGAAGAACGTCTCCACATTCGCATGGAATATCAGCGACATGCCTGGAATTAATCACAACATCACTTGCCACGAGCTAAACATCGACCCCACATACAAACCTATCAAACAGAAGAGACGCAAGCTCGGACCCGAGAAAGTGCGAGCAGTAAATGATGAGGTCGCCGGTTCGATCACGGAGGTTCGATACCCGGATTGGTTAGCAAACCCGGTAGTCGTGAAGAAAAAGAATGGAAAGTGGAGGATCTGCGTCGACTTTACCAACCTGAACAAAGCTTGTCCCAAAGATAGCTTCCCACTGCCACACATTGATAAGTTGGTAGAGGCAACTGCTGGCAACGAACTGTTATCCTTCATGGATGCCTTCTCGGGGTATAACCAAATCCTGATGCATCCGGATGATCGGGAAAAGACTTCGTTCATTACAGATCGAGGAATCTACTGCTATAAGGTCATGCCGTTCGGCCTCAAGAACGCGGGAGCTACCTATCAAAGACTCGTGAACCGCATGTTCGCCAGTCAGCTCGGGAAAACGATGGAAGTATATATTGACGACATTCTGGTTAAATCCCTGTACGCTAAGGACCACATATCGCATTTGTCAACGTGTTTCGACATTCTGAACGAGTACGGGATGAAACTCAATCCCGCCAAGTGCACCTTCGGCGTAACAGCAGGCGAGTTCCTGGGTTACATTGTCACTGAGCGCCGCATCGAAGCTAACCCTAAGCAAATATCTGCAGTTCTCGACCTACCTTCTCCGACTTCTAAATGGGAAGGGCAAAAACTCACAGGACGAATCACCGCTCTGAATAGGTTTATCTCCAGGTCGACGGATAAATGCCTGCCATTCTATCAGTTGTTGCGAGGTAATAAGCATCATACTTGGAACGCCGACTGCAAAGACGCCTTCAAGCAGCTGAAAACGTATCTCTCGACTCCCCTCATCCTAGCTAAACCCGAGAACGGCGAGATGCTATTCTTATACATCGCAATTTCCGCGTCGGCAGTCAGCAGTGTCCTAGTCCGCGAAGACAGGGGGGAACAACGTCCTATATTCTATGTCAGCAAATCGCTAAGTGACGCTGAGGCCAGATACCCGACCTTAGAAAAACTGGCGCTTGCGGTGGTGACTTCTGCTCGGAAGCTTCGGCCATATTTCCAGTCTCATTCGATCACAGTCCTGACCGACCAGCCGCTCCGAACCATTTTGCACAGTCCAAGCCAGTCGGGTCGACTCGCAAAATGGGTCGTCGAACTAAGCGAGTACGATATAGAATACAAGAATCGAACCAGCACGAAGTCCCAAGTACTAGCTGATTTTCTGATCGAACTCCCTAAAGAATTCATCGTCGAACAGCCGCTCCGCGAGTTTTGGATTCTGCATGTCGACGGATCGTCATCCCACCGGAGATCAGGAGTCGAAATCCGCCTGAAGTCCCCAAACGGCGAGATCCTCGAACAGTCATTCCGGCTCGAGTTCCCAGCGTCCAACAATGAGGCCGGGTACGAAGCTCTACTTGCCGGACTGCGATTGGCTATAGAGCTCGGCGTGCGACATCTTCACGCTTTCTGCGATTTGCAGCTTGTCGCAAGTCAACTAAGTGGAGAATACACGACCAAGAACGAATGAATGGACGCATACGTAACAAAGACTAAGGCTCTCATCTCTAAGTTCGAGACATTTGAGCTCACGAAAATCCCTCGCGGCGAGAACTCATCTGCTGACGCGTTAGCCGCACTGGCATCCAGTTCCGACCCACATATGAAGAGAAGGATCCCGGTCGAAAGTATCTCAGAGCCAAGTATCAAAACCGCGTTGGAATGCAATGTTACTACTCACCGATGGAACTACGACGAAAATCCGACCTCGGTAAGTACACAACACAAGAAGTCGACCCGGACGAACAAGAATGCTGAGTAGCAACTTAAGGGAAATGCCGAGCAGGCTCATGAAGACCTAGCCGCCGATCACGACTTCGAGCACATAACCGAAGGAATCCACAGTCCATCAACTAGCGAAAGCCAGGAAAGCGAGTCCGCCAAAGATTGGACAGCTGAACTGCGAGAATACCTCCTCAACGGCAAAGTCCCCGAAGATAAATGGGCTGCTCGCCGTCTTAAAGTCCGGGCTGCCTATTACACAATGCACAAAGATAAGCTATTCCGTTGGAGTGCATCTGGAGTACTCCTGGCCTACGTTTCTGGGAATGATACAATCGAAATCATGCACGAAATCCACGAAAGGTCCGGCGGCAATCATTCCGGAGGTCGATCTCTTGCTCTGAAAAAAAAAAGCCAGCTATTTCTGGCCGACGATGAACGCGGACTGCGAAAAGTTTGTCATGAAATGCGATAAGTGCCAACGCCATGGTCCAATGATTAACGTGCCGACCGAGCTGCTGCAAACCAGTACGGTCCCTTACCCGTTTATGCGGTGGGCTATGGACATCGTTGGCCCTTTATGCCGATCAACAAGTCAAAAACAGTATATCTTGATTATGACCGACTACTTCACAAAATGGGTCGAGGCCGAAGTCTATTCGGAGATTACCGCACTGGACGTACAAAAATTCGTCTGGAAGTATATCATTTGCCGACACGGGGTCCCGCACGAGATCGTCATGGACAACGGACCACAATTTATTGCGGGGACGTTCAATGAGTGGTGCGCAAAGTTCAAAATCCGCCTTAGTTTCTCTACCCCGCAATATCCGCAAGGCAATGGCCAGGCCGAGGCAACCAACAAGACAATCCTGGACGGCATAAAGAAACGTCTCGAGGCTAAGAAAGGTACCTGGGCAGACGAGCTTGACGGAGTCTTATGGTCGCACCGAACTACTCCTAGGCGATCGACCGGACAGTCACCTTTTTCCTTAGCGTACGGACTCGAAGCCCTCTGCCCGACAGAAGTGAGTATTCCAACCTTAAGGTACTCAATGCTCCCCGAAGATCCCAATCTCAACGACCTGATGATGCTCAACAACCTTGATAACTTGGAAGAGCAACGCTGTTTAGCTCTCCTCCGAATTCAGAACTATCAAAACCTCGCTGCTCGGTACTACAACAAGAAAGTGCGAGGTCGGCACTTTGATGAAGGCGACCTCGTCTTACGCAAAGTGTTCCAGAACACTGAGGAGCTGAATGCAGACAAACTGGGAACGAACTGGGAAGGTCCATATCAGAAAATGAGAATCGTCAAGCCTGGGGTTTACGAACTCATGCAGCTCGACGGAACGCCGATCCCGCGATCCTGGAACTCAGCCAATCTCAAACGATATTATTATTAAGTCCCAGCCAACAAGTGCGCGGCCCAAAAAAAAAAAAAAAAAAAAAAAAAAAAAAAAAAAAACCAGTCCGGCTCCGGCCGAACTCACCCCTGTAAACTGAATTACGAGTGGCTTGATCCCTTGCAAAAGGGTACGTAGGCAGCTCGATTTCGAGTCCAGCTACAAATCCAATAAAAATCCATCTTTTTCATTTCTATCACTAACTCCACATATCGACTCCCCGGCCAAGAGATCGAACTAAGTATTCCCCACGAATACAATCTCAAAAGCCGAAATCCGTCTCGCCCGCACCCCCATGGTGCCCACTATTCAAAGCCGGAGCCCAACCCGCACTCACTCTTTCGAACAGCAATCCGCCAACCGCGATTCAAGTTCGAAGAGTTTCCCGAGTTCATCCGCATCGTCGCAATAACATCACGAACTCCAAACTTAATCAAAACAAGCCGAACTCCCAACAGTCCGCAATGAAATGTCAAAAGAAAATTCTAAGTAAAAATCGAGATAGAGAAAAATCATGTTCATTTCATAAAAATATCTGAATTTGCCGAACTAGACGGCAACAAATACAACGCCTAAAAACCCGAGCTACCCGGGCAGAATAGTCTTTACAACATCAAAATAAAAACAAGAAAGAAAACTAAGGAAAGGATGATTTATTGACGAGCAACGGACGCCGGACTCTTGAGACTTGCTGCCCGATAAGCCGAGATCGACTTGGAGTTCGAGCCGAACTGATCCAAGCCCTCTGGAACCTGCTTCCCCGGTGGAAGCACAATCCTCGAGATGAGGTCGTCCTCGCTCGGGAGGAGGAAATCCTCGTTCTCAAACCGCGGAAGAGGGATGTCATCGACCTTCTTTGTGCAGTTCTTGATCCTACGCCCGTACGTCTCCACGATGTGAGACGGGACGATCACGTTGTGCTCCCTCCTGAGGAAGTCGCAGAAGCCGATCAGAGCGGTCGCCTGGTTGAATTTGAGGAATGGCGCTTTCCGGAGTCGGACTTGTCCATGAAGTCCTTCATCTTGGAGAGCTTCCCCTCGCACTTGCCTCTAAGGGCGGCCAGCATCTTCCTGCTCTTCGACTCAGCGTACCGATACCTCCGCCTCTCGAGCTCGCTTGTCTTGAACGACTTGGACAGAGCGTCCACGTCCCCCTCCAGCTCGACAGTCCGCTTCATCAGAGCCTCGACCTGCTCTTTCAAAGCCGCGTTCTCCTTCTCCTTTTCGGTAAAGGCCAGCACAGCAGCCTCATACCTCTCCTTTTCGTCCCGGTACGATGTTTCCAGAGACGCCCTTTCAGCAGCAACCTCAGCGTTGACCCTCCTCAGCCTCTCGACCTCGGAGTCGTACTCGCGAACGAGCTCGTTGGTATCGCAGACGAGCTGAAAATGGAACCCGAGTCAACACATTTCAAAACTAAAAAAGCCTAAGCGTTCAAGGCAGAGAGAAACTTACAGCGGAGGCAGATTTTGCGACCCGAGCATAAGACTTAGGGCGGAAGAGGTCTTTCGTCTCAAGCATCGGAGACGAGGCCGGCACGATCTGCCTGAAGAGCTTGGCGCAGGCGGATGAGTCGTCGAAAAAGGACCAGTCCTTGTTGTACTTGAGCCGGACTGAGAAGGAGGAAGAGTCAGAATTCCGACGCCTTTTGGACGACCTCTGGTTCTCGGTCTCGGCAGCCGGATCCGCTGGAGGAACTTGAGAAGCGTTAGGCGAGTCGTGAAGGACCAAAGTCCCCTCACTCGCAGCCGTCTCGGGCTCGCCACCCCTCTTCCGAGACGACTTCTTAGACTTGCCCTTCTTCTTACGGGCGCGGTCGGCGATGGTGAGCTCGTCTTTATCCTGCTCACCAATTTCCCCCTCCTCCATTTGAGGCTGAGGAGTCGCCTCGGGAACACTAGTTCCCGCCACATTGCCCTCCGGTTCCGCAACCGGGATCAGGGGGTCAACTGGGCCGACCGGGACATTATCGACTTCGTCCCCGATAGCAGCTTCAACACCGTCACCGGCCTCGTTCCCATCGAGACCGACGATGTTGATTGGGGCATTGTCGTCTTCCTCATCAGCCCCAAAGTCCATTATTGGGATATCCGACCTGTCGAACGCCATCCTTCTCCGACTTGACTTGCTGACTTTCTTCGTTTTCCTCTTCTTCGGTACCGGCCTCGACGAGCTGGGTTCCGTCTTATTTTTTGCTACAAAAAAAAGAAGACAAGTGTCAACCATAATCCGAATGATAACAAATTCAAGACGATCCGAGAACTCATACCTCTGTCCTGAGCTCTCTTTATCCGACGGTCAATCTTCTCCTGGTAGGCAAGTGGCCAACGACACTGTCCGGCGACACTTAACTGCTTCGCAAGGTCGGACGTGAGGGAGCGCTGAATAAATCCTGGAACGTGGCGATCTGCATAAGCATAAAAACGTTGTTAGTACCGACCAAAAAACAGAGGAGTTAACCGTGAGATATGTACCAAAATCGACACTCCAGCCAGTCCGGAACGTGCTCTCCGGATTCTCAGCAGATACCGAATCCACGCGGACAAAGAAGTAGCTTTGATCCCAGTTCGGAAACTTGCTAGCCTTGTTCCCAGTCACCAGGTCGAACTTCGGGTTGCAATTCACCGACAGAAACCAACTCTTCGCCGCCGAGACCTTCATAATAAAGAGCTCCTCGAATTGAGCCACGTTGATGTGAGCCCGGATGTCGCGCCCGAGCTGGAGAATCCCGACAAAATTCACTATTGACGCCAGCTGAAGCTGCGAGATCGCGCACCCGCGACGATTGCAGTAAGCAAACAACAAGCGAGGCAGGAGAAATTTCAACCCGGCCTCGCGGAAATAGGCTTCATAGACGCAGATGAAGTCCTCGGGTGCATCCCATGGACGCTCATCCGGCTCGGGAACCTGGATAATGATTCCGGGAGGGGCTCCGCCGATCAGCATAGCAGCCCGAACTATCTCTGGAGATGACAGTGTGGATTTTACCGGGGCGCATATACACGGCCGATCCACGATCGGCATCATATCGTCGTCATTGGGATCCTACGCCCCTCCATCCCCGACCTTGCGCAATGGAGCGTCCTCGTCTGTCTTCACGTCAGGCTCCCGTTCTAGGACCAAATCAGCAGGAACTTGGCCCTCGGGCTCGCGGAGATTTTGATCCATCCGTTCCGGAGCCCGAATCGGAACTCGGCTACCAGAACCGACCTCGACGACCCGGGAGTTCTTCCGAACCAAAGAAGCATTTGAGGAATGCTCCGTAGATCCCGAGCTCGAGATCTCGGTAGAAGTTTCCTCCCTGCGGTGTTCGGGAAGGATCGCGGCCTCGGAATTGGAAGAAGAGTCGGAAGACATCGTCGGAGAGCTCGAGAGAATGATCGTCGACGAGAGAGCACGGCGGACGGCGACCGGAAACTCTAGAGAGAGAAAAAAGAAAATTTAGAGAGAAGGGAGAGCAAATACCTTGGCAGTAGGAGCGAAAGTAGGAAATGGGGAGAGCTGAACCTTATTTATAGAAAAAGAGCGAATCATTGCGACTTCTCGAGTTCTGCGCCTTGTAACGTCTCGATTTCCCGCCTAAACTGACGCGTCTTTTCAGTTCCCCGCAAGCAAAAATACTTAAGTACCTTTGCCAAGGTACCAGGGATGACGAAGGGTGTAAGCCAAGGACTCAACGTCACCGACCTCGGCCTGTAACCGATCTAACTCTAATTCGGCAAAAGTCAGTCAGGTTCATTTACCGAACTGGGGGGGGACATACTGTTGGTGGTACGCTCCGCTCCCCGGTCCAGACCGGTTAGAGACCGAGACCGGCCCAATTGACCCCGGTTTACGATGGTCTTAGCCGAAATGGGCCTGGCCTGACAGCGCGGCCCATTAGAGAGAAGCCCAGCGACGAGAGGCGGTGAGAGCTGAACGAGAAGCCCTAGAACGTCTCCTCGCTTGTGTATTATAAATAGTAGAATTGTTACTGTAGAAGGGATCTTTTTTCGGACCCGGAGAATAGAGACCTGAATATTGTATTGAGTTCGTCGAGAGACCTCCGAACTGAACGAACTGTAATTGGAAACTTAATAAAATCTAATCAACTTAATCTCTTTCGAACTCAAATTACCGGACCGACCTCGAATAGTTGAATACCGTAATCAACACTCTATAGAAAATGTTTTGAATACTCGTAGAAGCATAGGTTACGCAAATGCTTCCAAGCTCGGTGAAATCTTTCTTGATGTCGGTTTTAGTGAGGTAATTTGTCTGTACCATCATGCTTTTTGTTCATCCGTTGTATCTTTAAATTATAGTTTCAAACATTAGTTTGCTAAAGTTGCAAATGCAATTAGAGGAGAAATATGTTGATGAACAAGTGATCACCATTGGGAGACTAGAAGTATGGTTTTTCTCTTTAGTTTGATTACAAGTCTTTGCCTTGAGGAAAAAAAAAACACAGTTTTTCATTGAGTCTATCTTCTATTGCAGGCTATGAGTTTGCTAAGAGCTTCAATGATGACATCTTCAGCTTTGACTACTTGTTTCTGGAACTTAATCGGTGTTTTATATAAGACTGCCTAAACTTTATAGACTTATGTGTAATATAACCAGACCATCTTTCTTCTCTCCCATAATCTGTTTGATTCTACAAATGATATTGTCTGTATATGAAGAAACACTGTTATATGAATTGTAAACTAAGAATCTCTTTCATTCTACACTAAGCAGAATACACACAAATCTGCTTTTCTAGCAATTGGGGTTTCCATACAAAAATCTATACAAACAAGTCTTAACATTTCTTGTGGAATCTGCTTTTCTCCTCCATTCACATTCCTTGGTGAATTTATACGATCATTCAGATTCAGATTCTGCATCTACGTCAATATCATCCTCAACAAATACGAGCTCGCATGTGCGTGAAGCTCGGGAAGAAAGTTGCAAATCCTTGATCATCTCAAGGTTTGACACATCACATCCTGTATCAGCCGAGATTGTTGCCGTCTTTAAGCGACAAGCGTTCTTCAATTTGTAAACCACAATGTCTCTCTCTTGTGGTCTCCCAAAGTATCGTGACCAGTTAAGGATTTGTAAACTCGACAACAGGACATGGCACGTCTCTTCTTTAAATTGAATGAATAATATTAATACATGTTGTTTTACTCCATTAACGCATAATTAAAAAAGAAAAAGTAATAATAAAAATATTAAAATTAGTTGTAAAAGTAACTTAATTAACAAAATAAACATTAAATAATTGAGCATTTATAGCTTTCTTAATCTATGTATAAATATTCAGAAAATCAACTATAATGAAACAGAAGGAATAACATTTTTTATCGGGAAAATCACTAAATCAAAATGAATCTAGGAACCCTAAATCGGTACTCTGCGTATAAGGATGTAGATTCAGTTATTAGAAGAGCATGGGAAGCTCAAAGGTGAACTGAATTGGGTTTACTCCTTTATCACGGTCAAATTAAAAATTTGAATTTCAAGTTCCTACCTTTAGGACATGGGGAAGCTCAAAAGGGTGTTTTTTTACGCGCTATGGCGTTTGGGGTTTGATGCGTGAGTCATCAAATTCATTTATGGTTGATGTTAAACCTCTTGAGATTCACACACGACCGTTGGTTCTTCATTAGTATATGTAGAGGCAAATATTTGTGTGATTCCAAAAGTCTCTCACTTTTCTCTCTTCCATTTCTTGTTTAGTGGTTTTTGCTCGGTTTACTTAATCTCCAATGGCTAAAAGTACAAAGTTTAGCTTGAAACTTCTGGTTGATGAGAAGAGAAACAAAGTTGTGTTGGCTGAGGCAAGTCAAGATTTTGTGGATGTGCTCTACGGCCTTTTGACACTCCCTATGGGGACTATTGCTAGGTTGCTGGAGAAGCACCAGAAGCTGCCTCAGGTCCTGTGTTGTTACAAGAACCTTAACAAGAGTGTTGCAGATGTGGTCGTTGATGATTTCGAGACCGAGGCTTGCAAGAGCATGTTGATGTATCCAAAGAGTACCAAGGAGATCCATTGCAGAAGGCTGAAGCTGAACATAGATGATACTACAGCCACAAAGTTCTTTGTATGCTCAAATGTGCATAGCTGCAAGTCTTACAGCAATTTTAGCACATCAAGGTGTAAATGTGGATATTCGATGGTCCATCAGGTTCAGGTTCCAGAAGAAGAGCAATGTGTAGATGGATTGTTTGTCAGCTGTCGATCGTCTTTCATTATCACCGATGATTTGAAAGTGAGATTTAACTCTATTGATGGCATTGTCGAAGTTGTTAGTGGCCTAGGATACTCGTGTTTAAGCGATTTGCGTGAAATGCTTGCTGATGTTGGCTTTGACGAGGTACTTGGTTTTATGTATTTTTGATATATTCTCATTAATATTGCAAGTTTTTTTAATCTATATTCTAATCTTCTCCAAAAAATTTAGGTATTTACCCTGCTGGCAAATGTATTCACTTCGGAGTCTCCGTTAACATGCGCATTCCTCAGAAAGCATTGCGTGACAAGAATGGATAAACCGTTGTCTCCGGTACTTACAACTGGGAGAGTTGAACAAGCAACACGATGCTATGTGAAAGTGTTTGTTCGAAAGTTGGACAGGAAGATTATTTATGCTGAGTGTAGTGAAGACTTTGTTGATTCTCTTCTCACTTTTCTTGTTTTTCCTCTGGAGTTGGCTGCTTCTTTCTCCAATGACAATACCATTTTGGGATGTGTCAGGAATTTGTGTAGAGGTGGGTGTAGAAGAGAGTTGGATTACCGTAGTCTTCCTCATTATTATACTTGCAGTAAGAAACTGCTTGACATTCATAGTTACCCATCACAAGCATACGAATGTAAAGTTTCCCAATGTTATCCATTTCTGTGCGATTACGAACTTTCCAGGTGGATTGATAGATCTTTGGTTGGGAAAAATGAAAGAGTTGTTACTGTGAGTCCTATTGATCCTAAAAAATCCATATCTGGCACTCCAACGATAGGGGTAGATGATATTGGGTTTGTGAAGAGACAAACAAAGTTCATTGTCTCTGATGATCTGACTATCACTCCAATGAACAAGTTTTCCACCATTGGCTTGTTAAAGAAGATGGAGATTAACATGAAGGACATTGAGGCTCAATCGATTTGCATTCACAAAGCAGAGGTATGTTGTTATACTATTTTTATACTGCTATTGACTCATTATATCTTTTGCTATCTGCTTTAGTTCTTGAACATGCCTTTTCTTGCAGCTCATCAATATTCTAAGCGCATCCTTGACTTCGTCCTCTGCTTTAACCAATGGTCTCTCGTACTTGCTTGCAAAGGAGCCAAAGAAAGAAACTTGAGTTATGTGTTTGCCGAGGATATTCAGGCTTATCGTTTATTTATCATAAAGTGAGGCTAGTGGTCTTGTTTTGATACTCTTCTTCTCCGTGTATCATTTGGGTTTTTCTTTTTCTTTTGGTGTTGCTTCGGTTAAACTAATCTCAGATTAATGGTTTTTAAGTATTTTATTGGTTACCATCCATAAATACACTCTTTTGTCTTACATTTCTCCATCTCTCTCCCAAGCTGTACTGCATCAAACTAAATTTCATATACTCCACCTGTTTTTTTTTTAATATAGGGTGTTTTTGGATGAAAACACAAAGATTAAGAATGATTATTAGTCTTTACAACATATTTGTTTAATAGTTAGTTACTTAGTTTAAACTAATTTAACCAATCATGAAAGAGACTCTAAAACAACCTATATTAAGAAACAGGAGTACTGTATATTACAAATTTAATAAATAAAATAAAAAATATCATGGAGACACAACTACACATGCTGATATGCATACATACATCTATACAAAAGCTTTGTCACATGATCCTTAATGATATCCAATCGGAGCCGGAGCTTCCTTGAGTTCGTGTCCTCGAAATTGTATATCCTGCACAACATTAACCCCATATTTTAATTAAATTCACATTCTTACTTATAAAAAGGCTAATATTAAAGATCATTTCATAAATAAATCCTACTAGTAAATAAAACTCCTTACCGAAGCATAATGGTTAATATCTCGGTGGTGAGCTTCATCAGCTCGGATAACAAAAACCACGTCCCTAAGCGTCGCGTCTTTAGGCAACCGCCAATAATCAATCGCGATGGCCGGAGCTGGCGAGTTTTCGAATTTTCCGGCATCAATGTCTTTGAGAAATTCGGTGTAAGAATTCACAGCTTCTTCCTCTAAGTATCCGGTAATGCGATGAGCAAGTTTTGGAGAGATTACATAAGACAAGAAATATGCGTTGAAGAAAACGCCCTGGACCGCGAACACAATCGCTCTCTCGTACCTTCAAAAACCGGTTCAAATTGATAAATAACCGGTCCTGGCCAAACCGAAGTTCATTTGAGAACTAAACCAAGTGAAGACAGCATAAATCTATAAATGGTGTCTAATCCAAGGAAAGATAAATAATACATCTACAATTCGATTCAATAAATTTCGAAAAGGTGCCAAAAGTTTGTTTTGGATCAGAAAGGTACCATTTTGGTTGTGAGAGTTCGATGAAGGTCATGAGATGCATACGCTCGTTCTCGGCTTCTTCAAGCAAAGCTTTGATCCATCCGGCACTATGCTCGAATCTCCGGAGAGATTTCAAGTGTAAAAGCATCCCTCCGACCATTCCCGGCACCGCCGCCACCGTCTCCAGCAACATTGCATGGCACATATGCTTCCTCTATATACTCAAAAGATTATATTATTGAGTTTAGGAAATATAAACGAACAAATTTATATGGTATCAAACAAAGGTTTATCTAATTAGCCAGCTAAACTCGAATTTTTTTTTTCAAATTATTAGTTATATATTCAAAATTAAAATGTTTTTTTTGTTTAAAGCAAAATTCCGATAATCTCTTCTCAGAGTTTATTTAGTGACGAACAAGTTTATTAAAAATTTTGAACAAATATGAACAAAAATTGATAAAACATTTTGAAGTTCTGATTAAATTACCTGAAAAAATAATTGAACCGGTATTTTCAGAGTTTGAACGGTCCAATATGCGAATTTATCAGTAAAATTAGACGGTTTGTGATGTTTTGTTACATCAATGGACACGTCTGGTTTGTATGAATCCCAAGGCTGAAAACAATTCCACTTCCAAGCTGAACCGTCCGGTTTAGTAATCTTAGTCGGAGATATCCCCCAATAAGTGGATATGACTTTGCCGTCAGACGTTTGGATAGGATTTTTCGGCTGATTATTTCTAGTCGCCGAAGATGACGTGTCAGAGCTCAGAAACCGAACAGTGGGCAAGTGGCTGATGACGTGTCCTCTTAATCCCGGTCTAGTACCTAAACCGGACGATAGTACCGAAGATGATAGCACCGGTCGAAGAGTACGGTAAATCGATCTGGAGGACATGAGTAACAACTGATGGGTGTGAATGCAATATCGATTAGTTTTGGAGTGATAGTGAAAGTAATTAAAAGATGAGGGATGGTTTTAGATTTTTTTGGGTTTCCTTCAGATTTGGTTATGTGGCAAATGAATTGGGAAGACAAGAGTTTATATAAAGTAGAAGTGATTACTACTAATCTCGGTCAGATTCAAAGTTTCTTGGAGGATTCATAAGAGCAGAGGCAATGTTTGACACGTTTCATCGTTTTTTTTTCTTTTTCTGGTTTCTGGAAAAGAAGAAGAACATGTGAATTTACATTACTTAGTGAGTCAATATCATATTTTATTTGTTATCGTTTAATAATTCACGCGTCTAGAGTCTAGACTACCAAATTTGAACACAAATTACAAAATCCGGTTCCACGTCTACTACTTTATTTTTCTCACATGCACTACAAATTTGAAAAAACGGGCTTCTATATATTTATATTAAAAAAAAGATATTTAAGAATATCTCATATGGTTTATTGAGTCAGTTTCAATGGTTCTGATTCATCTTCTCTTTCTCCTTTCTCTCTTGCCTTGCTCTCGAGCTTCGAACCCGTCAAGCGTTGCACATTTCTGGGCCTTCGCTGACCAGACGAGCTACAAAAGTAGGCACTCTCTATTCAGCATTAAATTTAATTATAGTTATACCCGACCCAATGGGTTTCTTATTTTCTGATTTATGGATTTTGAATGATCACATACAATTTTATATAGCTAATGTATTGGAAAGAAAACTTTACATAATAATTTATTTTTTCAATCAGTAGCTTCGAAATTATTTGATCAATATCCATGTCTACCCTTTTATTTTTCATATTATTAAATAAATGATTCTTGAAAAAAAAAAATTAAGAATACCTCAAATGTTAACACAAAGCTTGCTTTTGTTGCCTTAGACACTTTCTCAGTCTCTCTCAAAGTGCCTTGCTCGAGTTTCGAACTCATCACACGTGGCACATCAATATGCCATCGTAGACAAGTGAACTACAAGAGCAAGATGTTTAAGAGCATCTCCAATGGTGCTCTATATCTTGCTTTAAACTCTATTTTTAGAGTTAAATGAACTGCAATGGTACTCTATATGTTGTTCTATAAATAGAGAAATGAACAGTGTTGCTCTATATTTGGAGCAACACTGTTCATGGCTCTATTTTTAGAGCATGACTTTTTTATTTACAAAACAGTCCTCTAGTTTTAAGATATTTTTATTTTATACCTAAACAAAAATATAACTAACAATATTACTTTTAATTCAAATTATACTACTAATTATTTATTATAAAATTATTTTAACTTAAAATTAAATAACAATATATATTAAACAAAGAAATACAATAATATAATAAATAATAAAATTAGAAATACATAATTAATACTAAAAATTAAAGATAAAAATTAAATACTAAAAAAAAAACTTAACACAATTTATTAGATTAGTAGTCTAATATTCTGCTAAGTCGTTTCCACCTCCATGAAAATCACCAAAATATTGCCCGAATGAAGTAGATGTAGAAGGAGCTTGTTGATCAACCATTTTCTTTAAAATTCGTCTTTGTTCAGCTTGAACATATTCACGGATATTTGGATCTTGTATGGAATTTAAGTCTTGAAGTAAAACTTTATTTTCTTTCTTGAGTTTTTTTAATGCATAATTCTTACTTTGAATCTCCAAGTGGTGTTGTCTTTGTGCACTTGTCTTCTTTAACTCTTCCACAAGTTGTCTATTTCCTTCTTCTAAAGTTTGGATAACAGCCATGTTTGATCATCAACTTTTCTTTTCAATTTGGATTTTTTCACTCCAATTGGTCGTTGAGATGGAGATCCGCCACTAAAGTCGTCTTCATCAGCTAAGTTTATAGAAAATGTAGAAAAACCTGCAGATGCTTTTGTAGCAGAATCTGGTGTAGGATTTTCAGACTCAGAAGATATATACTCGAAACCACATGAATTTGATACCTTTTTAGCGGAAGTGACACCATCTTTAAAATTTTCAAAATTCTTAATAATACTCCATACATGATCATATTTCCAACCGGTTTTGAAGTTTGGATCTTCCATTAGCATTTCTTTAGCTTCATTGAACTGCATATAAGTATTAAACATAATAAATAAAATTTCAATTAACAACAAAGAAATTAAAAAATCATATATTAATACTTACAATATCATCATTTGAAGCACCACTTGGACGTCTATTTTCACATTGTTTGATGCATGCATGTAGCTTCCTTGTTGCTCTCTCAATTGTTTGAAATCGAGATCGAATAGATTTTTTGGTATGCTCACTCCAAGTTGAAGCTTTCTCTTTTTCGAAAGCTTCCACCACACGATCCAAAAACTTGTCGGATGTTTGATAAACACCTGTTATCGGGTCTTGAGAAATTTCCATATACACTTGACATAAAAGCTTATCTTCTTCTTTAGAGTACCCAGCAGAACGAGAACCACGTTCAGACATTTTTAGTTAAAAAGGAAAGAAAATGTGTCTAGAAATTTATGGAATTGTTTAATGTTGTGAATGGATTAAAAAGCCAAGATGTTATAGTATTTATAGAGGTTGATATAGTGACTTACATATTCTCACGTTTTGGACTAGTGAAAATCTACAATAAATTCTCACATTCATGAATCCAACTACACATAAAGCTTTAAATTAAATTCTCACATTTATCACTCCAACTACACATACAACTTTAACTTAATTTATTACATATTTTAAATAGATTTGAGAATCCAACTACACAAGAGATTTTACATTAAATTGTCACATTTATTTCTATTCAACTGAACATATTGAAAATAACTACACGTAACTTTCTCTCTTCAACTAAATTTTTCTTTATATCTCTTCAACTACTCATATTAAATGTAAACCTACATTTACACATTTTCACTCATCATATTTCTATAAATATCACTAAATCTACATTCTAATCATCACAATATTACAAACACATTTTACTTTGCTCATTCAAAATCTTCTCTCTCAAAATGAGAGATTGTTCAATGACTACTTCTCTGAAACTCCACTGTATAATGATGCTATGTTTCGCAGAAGGTATCGTATGTCTCGTTCTCGATTTCTTCGTATTATTAACGCAGTTGAAATTCATGACAACTACTTCACTCAAAGGAGGGATACAACTGGTCGACTTGGACTGTCACCCCTTCAAAAGGAACAGCTGTATTCCAGATGCTAGCGTATGGGCTTCCAGCAGATGCCACAGATGAGTACGTTAAAATAGGTGAATCAACAGCAATCGAAAGCATGAAACGTTTTTGTCGAGCTATAGTGGATATTTTTTCTACACAACAAAAAGCATGTCGGAAAGATGTAGTACGTGCATTCGGAGTTCTCCAATCGCGTTTCGCAATTGTGAAAGGACCAGCTCGTTTTTGGGAAAAAATTGTGATACATGACATAATGACTACATGTATAATTTTACATAATATGATAATCGAAGATGAGCGTGATATCAATGCACCAATTGAAGTTGGAAGAGAAGCTCCACCACCAGAGGTTGAAATAGCAGAAGATGAAACTACCCGATTTCAAGAATTTCTTGGGCGATATAGAAAAATCAGAGACAAAGAGGCTCATTTCTCACTTCGAAATGCGCTGATTGATCATTTATGGGAAAAGTATACTAATTCTGATGCTTAAAAAAATGTATTAGTTGTTAATACTTTAATTATGTGATGTAATAAATTTTTATAATAATTAATGTTAAAAATATGTTTATGTTGAATTATTGTTAAAAATAAAATAGATAGAACAATTTTAAAATTTTAAAAGTAAAGGATCTGATAAGTAATTAATACTAAAAAATAAAATATAATATTTATTTTTAGAGTCAGATATAGAGATGACCATTGGAGTAAACACCTTCTCTATTTTTAGAGAACTCTATATTTAGAGCAAAAAATAGAGCCAACCATTGGAGATGCTCTAACTTGTAACGCATTTTTGATTAAACTACCAACGTATAAAACATTGTTGCTATTTGTTTACTGCAAATAAATATATATATTTTTAAAATCATTATTTTTATTAATTGCAACCGATTACAAAAGCATAGATTAAAGCCATACAGATATTGTTTTTTAGAAATTACAGAAACCTGTAAAGATTGGAAAACAAAAGCATAAGCTAGATTTTACCCGAATCTTCCGCTTCGGGTGAGTTTCACATATCAGGTTCCAAAGACCATACTAATTACAACCACCTCTTCTGCCACGACCACGGTGTCCACATACTCTTGTTACTTTCTGCCATTGCATCTCTTTAGCTTTTTCCGACGGTCTGACTGCCTATCTCGCAGGATCTCTTACCCTGAGGGGTCATGAAATCCGTTGGTTCTGCCTCTTCAACTGGCGGTGGATCTTCAACATCATCGTCCGTAGAATCTTTGACATCATCTTCTGAGGAATCTAGGGCGGCAAATCTGTTGGTCTTCAAAGCTGAGCTAGAGAAAGTTCTTCTCAAAAACTTCTCTTGACCAACCGGAGATGTGCATTGTTTGGAAGTAGAAGCCTCTTTGGATGAGGCCTTAAGAGTTTGAGTATCATTGATATTTTTCCCTGCAAGTGCAGGAAGAGATAAGAGTGTGGGATCAGTATTTGAAGTACCCGTTTGACTGGTTTTTCTAGAAGTGTCTGGTGCTAGAGAGTCACGGCCATTGAGATGGAGACTCTGCTGACGTCTCTATTGATTTATCCGTTGACATATTTACGTTGGAGTCTTGTTCCTTAGAGCTAACATTGACCTCCGCAGCATATGGGGAGCTAGCGGAACCTGATGACTTAGCGCTCAGCAGTAAACAACGAGTAGCTTTGTGACCTAATTGTCCACAACCTGAACACACAGAAGGTAACCACGAACATAGAACATCCACCATCGTGATTGTATCGCTTTCATTCGTCAAAGCAACTCGCTTAGGGAAAGGTCTATCAAGCTTAACCTCAACTAAAATCTTAGCTTTTCCCATTTGTGTTGGATCCAGCCACGGTTTCTCAGTCAACATTGGTTCCCTGATACCCGATGCAATCCACTTAATCCCCAAGATTGAGTAGAGCTGATCAGGGATATTATTGAGGGTCAACCATACAGGAACTGTAGTAATTTCTGGGATAGAAATAGTAGCAGCAGGACACTACAAGAAAACATCCGCTTTTAGACGGTTATATCCGTCGGTAATTCGTCGGAAAACGCTTTTCCAGATGGAATTCCGACAAAAACAGGTCGTCGGGATCATCTCGTCGGGAAAAAATATCCGTCGGAAATTCATCGGGTATTTCCGACGGAATACCGACGACTTCAATTACTCGACGAATTCCCGAGGACAAAACTTTTCCGACGGATTCGGGACGACGCAATTTTTCCGACGGATTCCCGAGGAAGCATTGTTCCGACGGATTCCCGACGGTTTTATAAACCAAGGAGTTTCCGTTGGTTTTGATTTTATCGGAGTTTCATTTCCGACGGAAACCCGACGAACTTGACGATTTTTGTTTCCTGATGGATTTCCGACGGTCATCATTTCCCACGAATTTCCAACGGTCTTTTTTTGTTAGTACCGACGATTTTTCGACGGTAAAAGAAAAATTAAAAAAAAAAATTTAAAAACATTAATTCAGAGAAATAAAATTGTAAATTAAATATAAATAAAACTGAAATTTATAAATATAATGAAAATATTTTAACAATTTTTAAAATTCAAATATTCAAATAACAAAAAAAAAAAACAATAATCTAGGTTTCTGGATTTTCCGTTCCGGAACTTCCGAATCCTGGGAAGTCAGGAAACCTCGCCTTCATCCAACTTGCCATGGTTGCGACTTCCGATCTGGTTGTAGTAAGCTCCGATTTGGTCGTAGTGAGCTCTTGTTGTGTTGCATCTAACTTGTGCTCCAAATCCGCTGCTTTTGCCTTGAGCTCTTCGTTTTGCTCGACGATATCTTCGGGATAAGAAGAAGAACCGAAAGATTCTTGACTTGAGACAACATTACCCAAACCACGTCGACGTCCTTTTTTCAACGGAAGCTCCTGCACAATTAAAACAATAAGTTGTTAATACCAACAGCAAATGTAGACAAAAAAAAAATTAAAGGTACACAAACCAAGAAAACTTACTTCGCGAACCAAACGGTTGATCTCCTCGCGCTACAAAATGACGGGAGATGAGGAGTCACCTTGTGACTGTTGACTACTCTCGATGGTCTGCGTCACCTTCTCATAAATTTCATTCATTAGAGGATCTTGAATCACATTGCTCCCCTTCTTTGTGTGCACCTTCTTCATCAACTGAAGATGATCTGGACGCACTCCTCCAGCCTCTCTAGTCTATTTAAAAAAAAACACTTAAATGTTATAATAAAAAGTGAACACGTATTGTAAAATCCCAAAAAAAATAAGAAAATTTTACCATTTGGTCTTCTTGACTCAAAAAGCTCGTCGATCCGGAGTTGTGAACATATTGCCCTTTGCCTTTTCGGTCACTCCTTTTGTTTGTGGAATTAGTCTTCGATTTCTTCTCCGTCTCGGGGTTTTCCCAATATGGGATGTAGAGTTTCCAGACAGTGGCATTCAACCCTTTCGGTTTGCCTTTCCCCTTCCTCCAATTCTGCTTCCACTCGTACATGTTTCTTGAGAATTGCGTAGCACACTCAGCAAGAAACAAGCCCTCCACAGTCTTTGTGCGGTTTGGATGCCATGTAAACTCTTGCTGAAAAAAAATAAATTTCTGAAATAACACTAATTTAAGAAAAAATTTGAGTATTGAATAAATTGTTTGAAACTTACCGCAAACTGTTTGAACCATATGTTTTTCTCTTCGATAGGGATGACAGAAAATGTCTTGTACGGCTTCTTAAGGAGTGAATGCAGCATTCTCAAAATGCACTTGCTAATCCCGTTGTTCGAATATCCAAACCTTTAAGAAAAAAAATCTTGTTATTTTTATAAACATATTATCAAAAGAATAAAAAGATGAAAAATAATTTATTACCAAGTCGCATTTCCTCGCCGAAGTGGATAACTGGTATCTTTTCCTCTAAATTATGGATACCATCGACTGTAAGTGATCTAGTGCACAGATCTCGGAAGAATGCACTAATACCTGCATAATGAACAGAATATTACTTATAATATTATTATATATGTACATATATATCAATAGTATAAATGATTAGACTCCGGGATCT